GTGGTGCGAATCGCTGTTCCCCCGGAATGCCGATATCCGTACGAATAATCCCGAGGGACGTATCCGTCGCTAAAGACTCGGGTCAAATCCCTGGAATAAGCGCGGGAAATGTTTCCCGAAATATCGGGGAATATCCATGAAAATGCCGATCCCGATACTCGAGGGTCCTCTTGGTTCATCCCCTGGGAAAGTGGACATCGACGGATCGGACTTATTGTTTCCCATTTTGTCGCGACTGAAAACGTAACAGGCAAATACGAGATTGTAGCTAATTATTCCGTGGAATTTTCAACACCCCTTGCAATCATTATTACCCTCAATTTACTAATTGTAATTGTAAAAAGTGCACGGCGGAATTTTTGTCAAATTATCAATTCAGGTTTCCAAGCGAAACTTCTTATGGCACTTGTGATAATACTCGTGAATTTGTATGTTAAACAAAAAATTCAAAGGTTTTCTTCATTTTCTTTTTATAGTTCACTACTATTTACATTCGTTTTGTGATACAGTATTAACTCGATCTGTGTAAACGTGTTCATTAGTGTTGGTACGTTATTCTCTCAGTTAATTCTTGACATTTAAAGTGAAATAAGAATAACGCGAATGAAAATTAATTATTATTAATATTTAACAATCCTGGTTGAGTTAGGAGTTTCTCTTTCAATGCGTGTAGTGGTATGTACAGTTTTTTTTTAATGATTGATTATTGTCGTGCAAGATCGAAGGAAAATTTGAACGAGCACTTTATCTATTTTAATATTTTTTTCCGCGGATTTGAGAGCGCCACTTTTGTTCATTTTGGGGGCAATTTAAGGGTAAATGTTAAAAGTCCGTAGGACAGAGTGTTGGAACCATTTATAACAAGAAGTCGACCACAAAGGGCGATGAAAGGCTCGCCGAGTGAACGGAAACGCGTTAAAGCGCTTTCGCGATTGTTGGTTCCAAAGCTGCCGTTAGAGCTGAGGACTTTTGTCAAGCAACAACTTTTGTCAGCATCTAGACCTTTACTCCTTCTTCCTCTTTTCTATCCAGCGCCGTTCATTTTGTGTTCTTGGATCGCGGAAAGGGCACAGAATCCGGTCCAAAGGCTCGGAATGCCCGCCACAGGAACAAAGAAACTTCCGATAAAACGAGAAACTACTTCGTTTAATGGAATTGTTGCCAAGTTAGCTGGAAGTGTCCAAACGTGACGATATTCTATTTCTTTTCTCCTCTTACAGTAATATATAACTATTACCAGTAATTAAATTAAGGAGTGTTCATGTTTCTCGACCGTAAGGAGCAATACACCTGTAATGTGTATTTACCTTTGTCATTGAATTGTCACCTTACGATTGGTCGAGGAGATAGTTACACTTTCGATATTTTCCTGAGCGCGGTTATTGATTTTCCCACCTTGACCTAAGACACATTCTCTACTACTTCCCTGTTAAACAAATTATGTTCCTCGTAACTATTTTTGCAAACACCCTGGATGTCCAGGAAAAGGTCATTTCGAAGTGAAGTAGATCTTCAATAATTCTGTACATTGTCAATCATTCTCCCTCTCTCTCATATTTCTTAAATCATTCACTAAAAACTTGCATGCCCAAACACGGCACAAGAAATCCTAGTTATTGAAAATATTACCAATTACAGGTCCCTAATTAAAAAATTAATTTCACGTACTTCTCAGCAAAAATAGTTCGCACCCGAACGTGAAGAGAATCCCCTAATTAATTAAAATAACGTCCCCAGTTATATATATATACCTAATCAAAGAGAAGAAGCGAAGAGATTTTAGAGAAACCCACTTTCTGAAAATCATGTAAATGTTTATCATCGTTGAAGAATAATTAACGATCGCCTAAAGAGCATTTTTTCGCCATTTTCCCAAGCACTGTTAACGTTGGCCAGAGAAAGATGGCCGCCTCTCTGCCAGCATTTCAAATAGTATGTATCGCCCATAGCCACCACATTTCTTATTCCAAACTTCAAAAGGCCCTCTCTGTCAGCGAGCATTCGCCTTTTCTGCCTTTCCTGCGAAGGGCCGTTCATTTCGTGCCCTGGAAACGTGTAAAATAAGGAAAGTTTCCTCGAAGGGCCGGAGACTTTAACGCGCGAACGGGCGGGCTCTTCGCCCTGGAGGAAAGGGGCCGAGAAAAGGTCGGGAATTTCTCCCGATTTTCCCATGGGAGAGATCGCCGGCTAAAAACAAGCCGCTGCAACGACATCCTATTTCGTTTCCTATTACGGGAACGTCTGAGGCACGCAGTTTATTTGCCTTATTTTCATATGGAATGTTCTTTGGCACGGCCTCAAAGGCGCAGGCCTCCACCCCGGGCCACCCCGACTCTGCCTCCCCGTTAACCTCCTCACACACGATTACCGATCGATCTGACCCGAGAACTAATATCCGAATTTTTGCGATTCCTTTTACAGGATATTGAAAACGTCCCGATGGGATCGCAATCTCCTTAGGGATCCCATTCGTCGGCCGGGCCTCGGCGGGTGTCGTCAAACTTTCGACGAATACTCCGCCGTTTGAAGTCCCGGGGTAATTAGGTATGAGGTAAGGTAATTAGGGATGAGATAAGGTAATTAGCTATGAGATAAGGCGTGGAAAGGGGCTAACGTGGATCGGGGAAATCGAGGAGAAAATTACGCAGCCTGAGACAATGCAACGCTTAGAACGTTTCTCCATCAATTTGAGTTACGCTTCAAAAGGAAGAGTTTTATTATTAATTACTGCTTGGGTTATATAAATAATATTTCCTTGTAACTTCTGCCTTTATTCCACTTGAATTTATGTATAGAAAATTTGCCGCTTAATTGCGCTAGTTCTGAACTGGATCGCTCGAACGTTTGATCTCTGTTTCTGTTTCTTTTTTCCTTCTAAAAGTATGACCTAAGATGTACCGTGGAAATTTTTATATGAATCAACTCGGTAGGTGAAATTAGTTAAACATTAATCCGACACGATTATTACATCGCGCTGTATGAGTTAACGTAATTCTCTAGTTTAGGTACCACTCGTTATCGCAGCTTCTCTCGTTCCATCTCCACCGTTCCGGAAGACCCCAAGTCATAACTCCGCCTGTACTTTATGTACATTTTTCCCCGTTCTTCAATCATTACTGGCCGAAAACTTCACCCCTTCGTAATCTGCCAGGTTGGCGAGCAGAGGCCACTCGACAAATAGGAGTCGCAAAGTCGACCTGGGGCGAGTCTTTCGGAATTTTAAGCGCGACTTCTCGCCGAGAGGTGAAAGATATCCCGGGGGCTTTCTTCCCGCTGATGCCGGGGAAGTTCGTTAGGGGCGCGCCTTTGAAGTCCCGATATTCCCGCGGGAATAATAATAAGACGACTGGAAGTGGCGCCGATCGAGGATCGGCGAAGGCGCGACGAGGAGTCGGAAGAAACGCGCAAAGGGAGCAGAAAGAGCGCCGCAAAGGGGGCGGAAAGGAAGAAATTGGGCGAAAAGGGACCGGGAAAACCGCCGAACAGGACGAGGCGAAATAAAGGGAGGGGAAGGTTCGATTGGCCTCTTCGATCTTCGATCGGTCGGACGCCTCCGTCAAAGGGCGTTCTCGATTTACCCGAGCTTTCGCCGCGATAAGAACTCGGGCGAGCTTTCAAAGTGATCTCCTTCCTGCCTCCAGCAACGAGAGCAGGAGCTGGAAATGGACCGATGCAAGGATGGACAGCGGTTTACCGGGAACTTTTGATCCGTGCCCGGAACATGGACCGCCTAGAGAAGTTCGTCGAACATATCTGATGGCACCTGCTCCATGATCTGCCTCAGGGAATCGCGATCTACGACCTTACGTGGCTTACATACGACTCATCCCTCGATCCCTCCACCCTGGACCAGGAGATACAGTTATGGTCTTTGGAAAAGCGAGAAAATAGGGCACGACTTTCTTCGAATCCCCATGCAAAAATAATCTCACTTTACCTACGGAATATACCGCGACACGTTCCCATAGATTCTAAAAATAATTTCAATTTACAATTCAACCGTGGATAATATTTTTCGATACTTTAATTTGCATATTATTAAAATTCAGTGCTTGAACCTCGGAACAAGATTTCCCTCTGAAGGATCTGGGTACATCTTGTGTTATTTTAATTACCAATTTAGGAGAAACATTTCCTATCCGATTTATGAGTTGGACTTGAATAAATAAAGACAAGGTGAGCGTTTCTCGCCTATAGAACAGTATACAAGCGGGATATATACCGCGTATATATGTATTTGGCACGAAATGCTACCGAGTTTCTTTATTATTTTTCTTTACAAATAACACTTCTTGGTTTGCAGGCGACCCGATGAACGCAACATCTCGCGGAAGACCTTCTAAAAATGTATATTACATCCAGGAAGAATTACGAGGATAAAAATGGAGTCTCGTAGGAGTGGTTTTTAACATTTATTCCAACTGGGTACTTCTATTATCGAAGCCCGAAAATCCTCGGTCGTACAACCTCTTCGTGTACGTCTTCGTGGTCTCGACTGATAGAATACGAATAACGCTTCAACGATTCCACGTTTTTCCGTCTTTTCCCTTTTACCTTATCACGTTCTCTCTCTCTCCTGCTCCCCCTTTTCCTATCTCTATCATCCCCTTGCAGCCTGATCTCGCGAAAGAGCACCCCCCGCGAAGAGCCGCCATGGCGTGCCGAAGTCGTTCGCGAGGATTTAAATATCCGAAACGCGGGGGTGGTTTTTCACTCGTGAATTCGGTAAGCCCTGTTCCGACTCTTTCGGGGGTTCCTTATTCCTCCTCCCTCGATTCGGGCTTCGAACATCCCCTCGCGATTCCACGTCGTAATCTTCGGCCTCGACGTCAATCTCCCGGAGGTCCGACATCTCTTCAGCTTTTGAAACATGCGGTTTTATGGGAAGAAAGAAAAATCTTAGATGTTCCAAAATCCTTCCCCATTTTGTTTCCTTATTAAATAATTTAATTAGCACGTACATATATATTAATTTCAATGTTATTCGGGATTTCTTGCAGGGAGGAGACGCAAGAAGCAACGAAAGGGTTCATCATCTCTGCAGAAAACCTTCTTATCTTCCCTTCGGAGTAATCACGAGTCCCAGCAATGTGTTCATGCAAGTTGTTGTCATAGTGAAATAAATTAATAATTTAAATTACACGGAAGTCGCAAGAGGAAATCGCTGGAAATCAGTGAAAAACCATCACAATTTTAAGGCCGAACGTCATTTGGTACCGAATTACATTGTTGTTTTCCGTATGAAATGAAAGGCAATCGATTCTCAAAAAATGGAATCGTTTTTTTACTGGTTTCCAAATGATTGGTGAATGGAAGAGAGGCAGGACGCAACAAAAGGGCCGCCGCAAAAAAATGTCCGTTTCCTCTTCCGGGTTATACCACGAGTCCCGATAATGTTTTCGTGCCTCGGCAGGAAGTTCGTCGATAAAAATGGCAGGAAATCCGAGGAACCTCGTCGCAAAGTCGAGAGGAGCGGACAACGCGTCTAAGGGCTGTGGCGGAGGGCACAAAGGGCGGAAAAGCTCAGCTTTTAAAGGTACACCAGGAGGAGCGAGCCGAGTCGTCTGATAGGAGATTGGCGCCGAGAACGAAGGTTACGACATGGAATCGAGGGAGAATGTTTGAAGCCCAAAGGGAAGACGACGGCGAAAGAACCGAGCCTTCCTCGAGGAGTTCCGAACGGAGCTTATGCCGAACTCGAGGGTGGAAAACCTCCCACGAGTTTCAGATATTTAAATCCTCGCGAACGACTTCGTCGCTACACGAGGCTCCTTCGAGATTTCCGGAATGGCGGTTCCCTGCGAGCGAGATCCTGCAACTAGGTAAGGATCTCATGTCCAGGAGTCGACATTTCTATTTTTCATCATCCAGATCAAGATCATCCTACTCTTCTTCTTGAGGAAGAAATTAAATTTCTAGGAAATATTGCAAGCTTCTTTGGGGGGAAAAAAAAAAAAATTTCATCCCAAGGATGCGGAAATATCGGAGATTTTCAAGGGCGCCTAAATGGTCGGGGTCCTTGGTACTTAGGATATTTTCATAAATTTTCTTTCTCCAGCTTTCAAGGGCAATAACCGTTCCGGAGATCCTGAGGGAGGTTCTTGTACATTCTGTATTTATTATCCTGCTTTTCCCTTGTCGGTTTCGAGTTCCTGCCGACCGTGGGAGTCGTTTGAAGAGTCAGGTCGCCGAGCAAAATCGTAATATGGCGGAGGAACGTGCTTCCTGGATTTACTTCCGGTTAATATTGCCCCCGTAATATTTCGAGGTATAAGACGCACTGCTCTCGGGCTGTACGTTTTAATATGAGGAACGATTAATCACATCGTCCTCCTCTTTCGTCTTTGACTCCAGTTCGGCGACTGGATTTGATTCATTATTCTCGTCCAGTCCTGGGAGACGAACTCCTCGAGGACGAATATTCTTCTCGAGTAATAATTAAGTGCCGCCTTAGAAAGGAAACACTCTTTACCAGAGTAAACGGTTAAATGCCGGTGGAAGTAGGTTTTGAGTGGATATTCACAGGGATGGAATAGAGGGACCTAATTTACTTGGACATAACTTCCCTCAAAGTGACCAGCTATAAAATATTGAAAATCTTTCATTAACAGGATATATTTGCCCTCACAAATTAATAACTGCATCTCGTTATTAGAATCGACCCAACATTAATACGTATATATTTTCTGTTTCAGATCTTCGTGAGAAATCTTGAAACTTTTACTTCCGATATTATTTTCTTTTTTACTGACAGACTTTATTTGCGGGATTTTCAGTCGCGTAAAACGAATCCACGTGGAACGGATACTCCTAAATTGAGGGACGGGTGTACTTATTAACTAATAGTTACATCCCTTTTAGGGACAGAACTATAGATATTAAAAATAACTTCACAAATCGCAACTGTACAAAGTTTAGTTCAGTATCATCTTTCTTTTAGGGAGTGACACCTACTTGACAGCTCGTCCAGTGGCCACGTTAAATGCCATTTTTTTTTTAAAGTACATCCCCGATATAAATACTCCCGTTAAGCCGGGCAATCGTGTTTCGTTTTCGGGGGCACCCCCTTAGGTTGATCCATAAACAAATAGCCAAGTTGGTTAATCTAATTAAAAAGTTTGCCGTCGAGGTACTCGGTGCGAATCGCAATTGGCGAGGCACCCCGGCTGACGAGATGACCTCCCCCGTGGATCCTCGAAGGGGCACAAAGGTTGAGAAAGAGAGGGTGCGAGGGAAGGGCTCGAAGATAGGATAAGAGAGAAGGAGAGGGAACGTCTGAGACGGCGAGGAAGACTGGCACCAGGAAGGGCAGGGATGGAGGAGTGGGCGGAGGGGGAGATAATTAGACAAGTAACACAGAGCCACCCCTTCCCTCGCTCCCTCTCCCTCTCACTCAAGCCCGTATCCTCTTTAATTAAATATAAGCACCGGCTTACCTCTGCTTCTCAACTGTACCCCGGTACACACCCTTCACTGCCTCCGCAAATTCTCCACGTGCACACGCCAGATACGGGGTGGTTCCCACCCCCCGGCCACAACCTCCACCCGCGATACCTTGCCGACCTTCCGTCCATTGACACGTGGTTCTGGGATTGCCATAATTCTACCCCGTGTAGATATCACCTCGTGTGTCTAGTTGTCTGGAAACTGCGCTGGATACGAGGGTGGAAAGGGTGCGGTTTAATTTCCTTTCCCTTGGGTTGAAGGGTGTTCGGGTCTTGGTCGCACGAGAATCGTAATAACGTGATTATTGTGAAAATAGGTAGCGAATGATAAATGATAAGGGGTTGTATAATAGTTTTGCTTCACTAGATATGGGGTTGTATAATAGTTTTTCTTCATTAGATATGAGGTTGTATAATAGTTTTTCTTCATTAGATATGAGGTTGTATAATAGTTTTTCTTCATTAGATTTGGGGTTGTATAATAGTTTTGCTTCAGTAGATATGGGGTTGTAAAATAGTTTTGCTTCACTAGATATGGGGTGGTTCCCATCCCCGGCCACAACCTCCACCCGGGAGATCTTGCCGACGTTCCGTCTATTGACACGTGGTTCGGGGATTGTCATAATTCTACTCCACGTGGATATCACCTTGTATGCGTCTAGTTGTCTGTAAACTGCGCTGGATATGGGGAGGCGGAAAGGGTGCGGTTTAATTTCCTTTCCCTCGGGTGGATGAGAAGATCTTCGGGTTTTAGTACTCTATATCGTATGCGAATGATTATGTAACAATCGCCGGTAAATTATTCTGGGAATGATTATATAACAATTATTGGTAACTATTGAGTTGATAAAATGTCACTTATATGTGCATAGGGAGATAAGGAACGTAAAAGATTCAGGATGGTATACCAGAGGTAATGGCGTATCCGCATCTTTATAGTTGAAACTTTTAATGCCACTTTAGAAATCCTTATCATATTTCACGCTACCGCCATACGTCAATGAAAAATGAATTTCACATTTCAGAGATTTTGAGGATGAATGCATGCCCCTCGAAGAAGTCAAACTGTACGGAGGTAATGGATTTTACATTTCATAAATGATGCATGGAGGGGACACTCGCACCATTCCCATGAGGAGTGAAATTCTGATCCGTGTCCGTATCTCGTCCACCTTATTACTATATCAACGTCATGACTTATTCGGTTAAATGAAAATTCATTCACGATGACTGACTTAATAATACATTATATTCCCTCGTGATGACTGCTTAGTGAAGAGTCCTGCTTCTTAAAAAAATGTCGACATCGTCGATAACATTATTTTAGAATCAAGGTTTCTGCCGTCTTGGAGCTTCTACGAGTTAGTCGTTATCAGAACTGGAGGCATCATCCGTCTCAAAGCCCGGCACGCTTTTCGCTCGATTAATAACCGATCGCGCCATCTCTTTCAGCACCGCCTCCGGGATATTCGCGGTCTTGTTCGTGTTAAATAAGCTGTCTAATTTCTGAAAGTGGCCGCTAAATTCCTCCGTTTTTTCAGTGACAACCTGGTAGCGCCTTCTGCTCGATTTCTCGGACGAACGAGGGGCTGACCTGGCCCCGGTATTTTTGCGGCCATTATTCTCGATGTGCCTTCGGCCACCAGGAAACCTCTCCTTATAACGATCCTCATCTTTATTCCCAGGACCCCCTGCACCCGAAGAGTCCCCAGGAAGTCCTGCAAACGTCCCATTGACATCCTTCTCCAGCCTTGATCCCGAAGAGAAACCATTAACTGCATTCCTTCCCCTCGCGATAAGGTTCCCAGATTTATTCCCAGCATCCCTGGACCTCTTCAGCTCCGAATTCTGAGCCCCGTGAGTCACGTGAGTTCCTTCGTCCTGCTCGTCATCAGATTTATGTCCGTGCAAAATCGGAGCATTCTGGGTCGCCTCGTAGTAACGATGCTCCCTTAAATCCTGAGTATCGGGATAAAAATCAGGAAGATGTCTAGGATCACTCGGCTGATGATAACCCACTGGTGACTGATTTTCTTTCGGGTCTTCAGGACGATCCGTGGCGTACATGCTCGGTTTGAAAGGACTACGAACAGGCTTCAGCAAATTCGGCTCCACCTTGTCTAACAAAAGGAACTTCTCGATGGAATCTTTGTGTGCTGTCAGGGAATTCATGACCTTGCGCAATATTTTCTGGTAAGTTGGCTGGATCTCTATTTCCTTTAAGGTCCTGCCCGGTCGGACATGGTGACGTGCGTATGGTGATAAGGGATTGCTGGTCGATGGGCCTTCATGACTTCGGGTCACATTTTTTCCTCCAGGGCCAGCTGGGACGATATGGACCAGCTGTTTTTCTCCATGCTGATCCGTCCCCAGGATCAAACGAGGACTTCCTGGATCTTCATCTAATCTCAGCCTATCGGTCACGTTGAACAATCCCGAAGGTGGATGGAACAGTGATAAGGGTCCAGGGTAACCAGGAGGTCGCACCCGTTGGCGGTTTCTCCTCGACAATCGATGATTGTATCTGGACTGATTTCGATGTTGCATTCCTGGGACTGGTTGGAATTTCTCTAGATCCCTTTTCCCAGTTTCCACGTCTGAGACCTCTGCTCGCTCTGTGATCTCATTTTCTGAGATTCTCTGCTGGTCTCCTTTCCATGGCTTTCCAGGATCGGTCTCCGGGATTGGTCGTTCGGTTGTCAATGTCGCGTACCTGGTGGCAAAGTCATGAGTAAATCGGAGCAATAATTATCAGGATCTTGCTCACCTGTCCTGATGATTTGGCGTAGCGGGGAAGATCGTTGTCTGATCTGATTGGGATGTCACGTAAACGTATGTTCGTGGCCAGAGATTCTTCATGTGGAAACTCTCGTCCACCTGGGGCACTATCGTTAACTGCAGGTCGTACCTGGTATTATAAATTATTCCAATTAAAATACAGTATGCAAATGAAAATTCTTCTAATGCCTTACGATAATGTGCACACACCTCGGTGAATGAAATTCCACCGTGCGTTTAATCCTCCTTAATATCCACTTAACCGTGGGGTTTCTCTGTTCTAGACAAATCTCGCAATTGACGCACGTATCTTGACAAAGGATCCATTGTCCACTCGGTAAATAATAAACATTCCCACTGGAAAGTATAACATTTTCTCCGCTCTGGTCCACCGGAGTTGGACCACTGTAAAATGGCGCCTCTAGAAGTCTCTTGTACAGAACATTGTTTGCAGGAGGCGGGGGCGAAATTGTCTTGAAAACATATTCCCGAAGGATGTGTTCCCAGTATGGTGGATCACTCGGTGGCGAAATCGGTGAATTCATGAGTTTCTGATTTATTTCTACAGTCTGGGCCGGGATGAGCAGAAACTGGAAATGTCCATTTTCAAATGTAACTTTCGTCGACAAATCACGCGAATCGGAAAAAAGATGTTTAGCTTGGGAAATAATTGAAAATAAATATCCATACTCACGGAAATAATCACCAAGAAATACCAGCTTGGTGGGTAATCCATGGTCATGATTAGAGTATCACCTTTTTTATATTACAGACACTTGACTTTCTCTCTTGACATCCGCGAACCGTCGACGATGGGTTCACTAGATCAGCTGGATTAAAAGAAGAATTGAGAATCATCGAGAGGTGCAGGTCTCGCGAGACATTCATCGAGAATGCTAACATTACTCACCGTTAAATATTATCCGATCGCTCCTAATTTTTAAACAATGTAACTGAAACTACCAAGATGGACGGCGGTAATATGAGATGGCTAATCGTCATTCCGATAGATATCAGAATTAAACTGAGGACATTGGACATTCATAGACTTAATTTCTGCGTACCGAGTTGGAGATAATTACTTTTAATATTTTTTATTCACAACCATTCCGAATTTAGAAATGTGGTACTCGAGAAATAATACAAAATTCTCGAATAATAATTGAAAGAATCATTGAATTGACATGTGTGGTCAAGTAACATTATATTATATAACATCTCTAGAATGATATTGAAGGTCATAATTTTTTACATGGAGTTTAATTCATAAATCAAAATCGAACATTTCAATTTCTCTAATGATTTATATCTCCAAGAATCTGATACATTTATGTCAGATGTAAAGGACTTAATTATTTATATATTAAATGTTAATAAAATCAGGGGGACTGTAATTTGAAACAAAAAATTATTCGAAAACGTTTGCAACAATTGCAGTTAATCATCGCCCCGACATCTGTACAGCAGAAGAGTAAAATACATCTCGTTCATGATGTTATCAAACAAGTATGACTCTTATCTGGTTACCAACAGAGCGATCAATATTACCGCCAGTAGACCAGGTAAATGTCTGCCTCAATACCGAGAGATAAATGAACTTTAACTGATAAACATAAATACCACATATTATTGTATCGGAACCGAAAGAAACTTGAAACAAAAAAAAATTAATCGCATAAATACTTCCAACCTCTGAACTTGACATTAATGTGTCTAATGTTCCAGGGATGCAGCTAAGTAAATTGCATCGTTTGGTTAACATTATCTTTTATCAAAATAGAGCAAAAGATAATGCAAAATGAAAATAGTGTATGCACAGTAGTGTAAGTAGAAAATGCATTTCTTGCACGGCCGATGGCAGCACGATTTCCTGCATGGCGGGATCCTTCAATTTCTCCCTCGGATAGAAGTATTGATTTCGTAAGCATGTACTAATTTAATATTACGAACTCAGTACAAGTGTCTCTCGATTCTATCAAGAAACGGGCGCATTCGGCCGACAGTCACATTTGCCCATTGTAAGTAAAACCACGAGGCGATTGCATTTTCGAGATGCGCTACCACGTAGTTATCTCCGTCATCATTTTGTTTAATTCGATAGTTTATCACCGCTACTTCAATAATCCGGTCAGTATTGTTGACCGGGCTGAGCTTCGTTACGATTATATTGTCGGTAAGTGCGCAAGAAAATGCATTGTTGCGGAATGATGCAATTCCGATAAGTTCTGACAATATACCGTAGATCGCGTTAAGCAATTAACCTCGGTATAAAAATAGACAGACCGCGTTTAAATGATAATCATTTTTACGCGCAAAATGTTTTACCAGATTTGAAAGAAAAGTGCGGAAAAAGATATAATATGATTAAAAAAAAAATTCGGGCGAATCATCACGTTCATTGGAAATTAAACTTCCAAGTTGACGAGCATTATTAGTTATTTAAATCACTCTTAAAAATTCTTCCACGAAATGCCTGTACGGATACTGGTTATTTCGGCCATGTTTAATTTGACTTTTTTTTTTTATTTGCATAATTTCCTTTTTTTATTTCACTTTAAATGTCAATAATTCACTGAGTGTCGCACTAACGCTATCGAACATGTTTATGTAAAGTATGTTAATGCTAAATGACTAAGATCGGTGTAGGTTTTATTTTAATATTGTTATATAATGAAATTGTTCATTTAGTTGGCGGTGGTACTGCAGGATGCGTTGTTGCATCTCGCCTCTCGGAGATGTCAAACGTGACAGTTCTTCTTGTCGAGGCTGGAGGATACTTCAACTGGCTGTCAATGATACCATTGGCAGCTCCTCTCATGCAAGGATCGGCGAATGATTGGTCCTTTAAAACGGAGCCTCAGTTATTCTCCTCTAAGGGTCTCGAGAACCATGTAATGACGTAACAAAGCTTATCAAACTTTCTTTCAATCAATATACATTGTGATAAAAATCTATGGGAATTTATATAGATTTTTATACACCTCGTGACTGAAGTTTTTCACATAGGACGTAAAATTTAGGAAGGAGAAAATGTAGAAATACCCACATTGTATACTTGCCGTATCAGTGCGTTGTTACGTTAATTAAATGTAATATTACAGTGTAATTTTCTTTGCTGAATGTGATATTACAGAGTGAATGCAATTTTACTGGAATTTATTTTGGTATTAAAATGAGCATGTAAATTTACATGGGCATTTTTATCATCATTGTGCATTTATTCTACTTTTATGATTGTTACTAAAGAGACAATCGTACCCGCTTGGACGAGGTCTGGGAGGAAGTGGCCAGCTGAATTACTTGGTCCACTCTTTCGGGAAACCGGAGGACTTCCAAAATTGGCCCAATGGATGGACCCATGACGATTTGCTGCCATATTTTGAAAACGTGGCGAGCACCATGAACGTTGAATCTATTCCAACCGATGGGGAATTAATTCAGGCGTTTCTGCATGCTGGGAAATCTGTACCCACCGAAGATGCGTCTTTTCATCCTGCCAGCAGCACTCTGAGAAGAGGAGCAAGATTGAGTTCTTATCACGCGTATCTTCAATATGCATGGCATAGAAATAATCTCCACGTACTGACCGAAACTCGAGCAACTAAAGTACGACATCTCCTAAGATCTAAAATTAAGATTTAATTTTTCCTACGAAAAAATTGACAATGAGTCTCTTACCTGATCTCAAAATTATTGTTAAAATTTAAAGAGACAAGATTTACCCGCGACAGATTAATTTAAAGAATACCTTAAAAATATTCCTTGAATCAGGGAATAAAAAAAAGTCGATAAGTACTTTTAATACATCAGTTCATGATATTTCGCTTGAACAGATAATTTTTTACAATGCAACCACTGACGGAATCGAAGTGACCTACAAGGACGACACGCAAGGCGTCATCCTCGCAAAAAAGGAAGTCATCCTCTGTGCCGGGAGTGTCAATACTCCACAATTGCTCATGATTTCCGGTGTCGGGTCTTCCGAGGAACTGGAGAGGCTTGGAGTGAGTTCGACAACAATGTAACCCGACAAGTGGTTCAATTTTTTTTTAGTTTACACAAGCTCAAATCCTTCGTGGAATAGAAAAAGGCTAATACCGAAGTTTACCTTGATAAGATAGTTGTACTTTTCAGATACCAATTGTATCGAACAGGTCGAATGTGGGAAAGAACTTATTTGACCACTTAAATGTACCTCTCTACGTGAACCTTGAAGCACCGATCAGCGCCACATTAAGAAAGATACAGAGTATCAGCGAGGTCTACAAGTACTTTGTTTCCGGAACAGGTAATCGAAACGTGTAAATTGATGCAAAGGACAAATAACCTCGAGTGATTTTGAAAACAATTCTTTTCCGACGACAAGGACTGCTGGCCACGAATGGAATCATCGGATTGGCCAGCCTTAATGGCAGTGGGATTATTTTCTTCAGCGGTGCCTCGGCTGACGAGAAACTGCTGAAAAATATTGCCAATTTTAAGACAGAAGTGAGCGTCGCACCTTTATCTACGAATTACATTTATGTTAATTGCAAATAATATTCCCTGGATGTTTTACAAAATATTTCTTTTATATACTTTCAGACTTTCAGGGCGATGTTCCCTTCCCACAACAATACCTCGCATGAGGGTTTCCTTTATTTAACAAGTTGTTGGCAGCCAAAAAGTCGGGGCACCATTTCTCTGCGATCAGCCAGTATTTTCGATCCTCCTGTAATTGATCCTGCCTACCTGGAAAATGACGATGACGTGGAATGCATTCAAAAAGGTGACGTCTGCTTATAAAATGGAAACCCTGACCTTCCTGAAATGTTAATCCGAATCTTGGTTTTTATAAAATGCAGTTCGCGTTCATTTATAATTAATGATAAAGTCGGTTGCGCCAATCGTAAAGTCCTTAATCAATTACTTAACGCGAGATTAGAATTAATCACCTGACTTTGGATGGTTATTTTTTCATTTTAATCCTCGGTTAGCTTAATCTTTGTCGGAGCAACGAATTGCACCGATTCAAGATTCACTACTTATAATTAAGAAATTTGGTGCGATCAGCCCTTAGTCTCAAGAATTAAATTTAGGGAGGATTAGGAAACGCAGTTCTTTGGTAAAAATCATTTAATATTCTCCTTCTCCCGTGTTCGCCCTCTAGCCATAAAACTAGCTCTACAAACGCTGGATACAAAGCTGTTCCGGGAGTTCGGTGCCCGAATCCACGTTCCTGATCTCGATGACTGTCGCCACTGGAAGCAAGACTACCTGGACGATGACTACTCGGAGTGTGTCATGAGGACCGCGGGTCTCACCAGTCATCATCCCTGTGGATCTTGTCAAATGGGCACAAACGATGATGCAGTAGTCGACGAGTATTTGAGGTATCATCCAAAAACATGACCTCAGAGTACCCAGATCTGTGCTACAAATTCATGTTTTTTGCAGGGTAAAGGGCGTCAATGGTTTGAGGATAGCCGATGCCAGCATCTTGCCATCTCCAATATCTGGGACGCCGAATTCCGTGATAATAGCGATAGCGAATCGCGCGGTTGACGTAATTTTGGGCCATTCGACCGCTCGTTTTAATTCCTTTCTGAAGACCAAATCACAGCCGAACGTCTGAACTAGTACACATGACTCCACTAAATTGCCTCGTTATCGAATTTAGTCAGCGACCCTCCTTATCGACATCCATCATGCCTTTCCCTTAATCGAGTGGGCGGATTCTGCGAATAAAATTACAGTATTTTTATACAAGCATCTGTTTCGCCGATCCAAGGTCGCTACGTTAAGGTGTACCGATATCTGATTGGGAGATAAAGTGATACGAAGATCCGTTGTAACCTTAATTAATAGAGAATTATATGACGATGGGTTTACAGGGATACGAGCGATTACGCACCCATGTACTTGTTGAGGAGGAATATCAGGAAAAAGCCGCAAAGGACGGCGAGGAACTGCACTATGCCAGCTGATCGACGACTACTTTTGTGCCACTTTGCTCTCTCTCTTGGCAGAACTTCACTGACAGTCACATAAAGCAGAGTTCCTCCTGCCAAGCCGCTCATGACTGGTATCACCACCGTCGTCCATTGTTCGTGCACCTTTTGGAGAAGTTTAAGAAATAATGAGCGAGCGATGTCCTTCTGCAGGATTCTTTAAAAAATCATATCTAACCCGAGAGGTCCACATGCCTATCCCGATGCCCAAGGAGGATCCCCCAGAAAATAAGGACATCGCTACGACGTACTTCAGAAGAGAAGTCGCCGATCCGATCAGTTCCAATCCCAAACAGAATCCCACGACCAGCTTGTGCGATGCAACAGCTCCTACAAGTAGCAGTACCTGCAAAATGCAATCATCAGAAATTAAAGAAATTATTTAACTTGCCTTTGTAAACGTGCAGGGAAGATTTATTTCATGGAACAAAATCGTTGATTAACCGCATTTGGTCCATTTTGGTTAAGTATATTAAATTAATAATTGCCGTGATCTAACGCAACATTTAATGCGATCAGTCGACAATTATAAATCAAAGGATTTTCATAGCAATTAAATGATGATGTTTTCATACTAATGAAATCATTTTCTGCGGATAGGATAAGGACTTGTTACCTCTACGGATTCGTTTTGCAGGCCAATGGCAAGTCCCTCCAAAACGGCATGTAAAGTCAATGCCACGAGGAGTCCCATTATTCCGGTATTGCTTTTGGCACAAGGTTCCGTATGGTTACCATGGCATAGCAAAGTCTCTCCACTGGTGCAGCACGATGGAACGTGCGAAGGTACAACTATACTCCCATAATGCGTGTTTTTTACATGTTGCGGAGCAATGTTGCTCCTAATGTTTGGCTCGAATGAGAAATTTAAATATGGCTGCTGCGCTGCTGGTGGGACGTTGTTTTTGCACATTACCGAATAATCCACCTGGCTGATGCTGGATCCTTGGCGACTTTGTTGACACCGTCTATAGATAATATAAAATGACATTAAACACTTTATAATAATTTCAGAAGCAAGAATTAAAACGGTAACCTCGGTACATCCTAAGAATTATTTCGCATGGGGTGGATCACTTGTAGAACCGACGAGGATATATCTACTTATCAGTGATATAACTCGTAGATAAGCTTACGTGGCAGGTGTGGACATAGAACTATTTAATCCACTTTTTCACACCATATTGCGCCACAGTAAACAATAGGGTTCGATACTCGCCTTACGATTATACAATCCCCGTGGTGGAGATACATTCCTCGGTTATTTCTCCTCCCACGATAACGAGCTACCGATTACAAGAAACCTTGATGTGATCACAATGAACAAAAAGATCCCTATCGCTCTAAAATTAATTGCAGAAACTTCGAATTAATCTATCAAAGTCAATGGTACTTTTTCGTACAATTTTCAGACAGAACTTTCTCAATAACCTGATATATATATATTATTACTTATCTGCCATCATCGTATTCTTTCCCCTGCACTAAAAGAAATCCAGCAATCAAATACGTCCAAAGAAGTGTCAAATTAAGTAAACGAGATTATGTTAAATCAAAATGAAATTGTCTTCTTAACGTAATAATTGTCCCTTTCAATGATATATGATTCAGGCAGGAGTACATATCAGTTTCAGTTGAATAATCGTTTCTCTGGGTGGCATCTCCAACCCTGACCATCCTCAAAGCTCACCTTTCGTCCTGAGTCCTTTCTTGGCATGGTGTCTCGTTATTATTGCCATTCCTCGGAGATTCTACATCGGTTCCCCAGAAGTAATGCACGGTCTCGTCCACCAGGTAGAGGAAGAGGAAGCCACAGCAGAACATCAGCTCGGCATAGTCGGGAAGAGTCTCTCGGATTTCCGGGAGCATGTGCAACAAGGCGGTGGCCAGAAGGACTCCTCCCCCGAAGCAGAGCAAGGACGACAGGAGCAGCTTCCTCCGAACCTCGCGACCTCGAGCTGCGAAGCAGATGGGGATCATGCCCACGACGAAGCTCCCCACGCCTACGGCGAACATGGAGGCGAACTTCGCCTCGATCTCCGACAAAGTCATCCTCTTCGGTTCCCTTCAACTCGTGGACTTTCTTGACAAAGGCGCGACACGCTGCTGGAGTGTCCCCGGTAATCTACCTCGATAAGTTCTCGTGCAGATCCGTAATCTGCGAGGGTGACCGGAGTCCCGACCGAGCGACACGTTATCGTGACACACCACGGTAAATATTGTGTCCAGAAGGTCGCAATTTTCCCGGCGTTCGGCGAGCCCTGGAAAACGAAGTTCAAGGATTTTAGCGCAAATCTACCGAAAGTCGGGATTAAATCGGAAAGGTACGGGTCCATTGCGTTTGATCTTGTCGAGGGAGTGTTACCTGAATCAAATTTCGAAACTCGAAATTGAAACACCTGACCATTTTTAATTATTGCTGGAAGTGTTCCCCTGAATTAATTTCGGGGTTCGAAGATAAAATACCTGACTGATTTCAATTATTACTAGAAGGGGAACCTGGATTAATTTCATAGTTCAACGCTAAAACACATTAATTATTGCTGCCAATGTTCCCTGAATTAATTTCAGGATTCAAATCTAAACACCTATTTATAATTATTGCTGCAAATCTTCCCCCGAATTAATTTCAGGATTCAAATCTAAAACACCTATATAAAATTAATCAAGTGAAACATCTCATGACCCGGTAGCAGGTGAAAGTTTGCATGATATAAAAGGGGCCCAATTTGAAAAACGATACGCTCTTTTTGTTCTCCTTCATAATTAATTACTGTTTATATTCATCTTCGCGTCAGTACCGAGACAATTTGCATCAACGTTTTCGTCAACGTCAGTGCGTTGATTTTCTCAATTAATTATTATTATTTAAAGTGAAATATAAACAGTACAAGGAAAAAGTAAAATTATGCCCGAAAGAAGCAGTACCAACCGCTAAATTGCATTTCGCGGAAGAATAATTAATAATATCTAATAATGCCCTTTAACTTGAAAGTTTCACTTTCAACGCGCCTGACGGCCGCGCATCGATTTCTCATAAAAAAATAGGTAATTATTGTTAATACTGACCTTAGACATGCGTTAAATCCTTGCACTTATTGTACCACATAGTTAATATTAGATGCATATCGTTACAGACTGTTGATATCACTTGCATCGTACCGATAAATGAAGTTCGAGAATGATTACAGCTAAACTTGCAAAACATAACTAAATTACAGTGGGTCAGATAAAGCCCGTTGATATGTATTAAATACTTTGTCGATAAAGATAATCACGAAACAAAATGTGTTTCGGTACTCTGGAAAATTTCCACCAGAAATTGACGTTCAAGATTTATCCTTCGATTGTTAAACGGTTCACTGATATTTCTCACAGAGAAGGTGTAACTTTTGGGCTTCAAACCGTACTCGAGAAGCACAGAATTACACTAAAACTTCGTATCTCTAGATAGTGATGCGATAACTTCCTCGATAACTCTAAAGTCTGACTCCCATTAGGCAATCACACACGAGGAAAAATGCAATCACTTTTATCGTCGACCGTAGAATCAGATATCCGAAATAATGGAGATTGAATGTATTATTACGAAGTCTGTAAACTGTAAACTGTAAACCTTTAAGTTATCATAGGATATTCTTTTAAAGTCGTATCCGCGAACGTCTCGAGAAGAGTCTCGAGCAAATAAGTGGATATCGAGAATCCAAGATTTCTCCTCGAGAGTCGAAGAAGTCGTTGTGAGAGTCTCATATCTTGGATCGTAAATTCAGAATTCGCGTAATAAACTGCCGAGCACTACAGAAACTCTCAGATCAATGTCAAATGGAGATCTATGCCCGATCGCGAACGCAGAAGAAAAGTCCAGCTCTGTATATCAGTCTTGTTGCTAAACATTATCTATTCAGGGCAGTATATGGTTCATTGACGACAATGGTATTAATAAGTAGGATGAATCAGGTGATAATGCGATTCAGCGAGCTTTGTGTGTACGAACAGCTTTCGGAATGGATATAGAAGGAAATGTAACATTTTGCCATTGAGGCGTATCTTTATGTCCTCACGCATACTCCAACGTTTTATCAATATCAGCTGACGACCCATTCGCTTCCCTTCTTTGCACTTCAACTGCATTACGAGTGTCTATTGGGCGGAGAGAATTAATCTTACTGTCTTATTAGTTGCGGTTTTGCTGTTCGTTTATGATACTAAACATTTTTAAGTCGAATCAGTCCAGAGTGCGCCTTAAGGGAAAAATGCCGGCATGTGAGGATGACGCTAAGTGCATCAATTATTGTGCAGTAATTTTAACCACAACTGGCTATACACTGAATCGATTTATTGTGCAGCTTCCTGACACCCTTAACGTAAATTTGTCTTATGCCGATAACCATGCCTACTCAAATATTTGCTGTAAATAATGCAATATAAAGGAATGACGTTCCATACTTCCGGGAATTTGTTCAATATTTACGGGATTATGTTGTCAGTCCATATTTCCTTATTAATTGAATCTGATTTAATGTAACGTTTTATTGGGAGAATTGTATTATATTCTTTAAAGTGTTCATTCAATTTATTTAGAATTTTTTTCTCTCGCGAACTTTTCATTATTTTTGCATTGGTATTATTGCCGCGGTTTTCGCGCCACGTATCGGAATTATCAGGAACTATGATGTCGATATTGCCGGTAAAATCAAATGTTATTAAAGAGAGCTCAAGTAGGTAACGTAAAGTTGCTGGTACATTTAAATCGTTTCTTTATTGTTAAATAGTCTGATATCTTTGAAATTAAGCGATCTGTATCAATTACCCGAACCAAAACTTTGTATTATGTCTGGAGCACAATCGATGTCAGCCGGCATTTTCATTATATCGTTTGATGTGTGCGTTGTGCCGAACATAACCTGTACTTTCATACGTTGACGAAACTACATAGTGTAAACATACGTTGCAAAGATCATAATATTTTGACAATTGGCTAAGGTGTCGGAAAAATACTTTAGGCCACAATATAAGAGCCGAACAACTCTAGATCGATCAACCAACTAACCAAGGAATATAACCTGTATTTTATGTAAATTAACGCAATATTCTGAATCCGAAAGTCGTCACGACAAAATCTTCCATCAAGATTTTGTCTTTACATTGATCGTTCATAATTCGCTAAACATTAGATATAATCGTAAGATGTTATCTGAAGTACTCTACAATCAAATGCAACTGAACGTATACCAGAAAGATGTATGCATTTTTTGCCTTACATTTCAGGAGAGTGAATTTGACAGTTATGGAATTTTAATAGGTACTTAAGACATGGATGTATGTTAATAATGGACGGATGAACATGAAATATGGATTCACGACACTCAAAATCTAAACATGAAAGGGAGGTGGACCGTAGTAGATATGACGAGTACAAGTACTCGCGCAAAAGAAAAAGATCGCATTCGGACCGATATCGAGAGGATGATTTGCATTTACCATCGACAGAAAGACGTTCTCGATACGATGAAACTAAATTTGACAATGATTCATTGGAACACAGGGATGCGAAATCTAACTATTCAAGTTTTGATGATGTAGAGTTCTCTTTTGAAAAATATAAATACGAGCTAAACAAAGTTTTCTCCGCAAATCCAAATCTAGTTCAAGATACGGAAGACTTTTGGAAGTTTCTAAGGATGTATGAATCAATGCAGAAGAAACTTGGGAAAATTAGTAACCCAGTTCCAGATTCAGGAGCTCTTAATTCTCTGGGTGTACCACAAACGTATCATAAGTCATTTTGTATTAACGTCAAAATCAGTTTGAGTTTTGGAGAATTGTTTGCGCGTGTTCCACAGATAAAAGAATTGTCAGAGAAAGTATTATTGAAATTCCGGGAAATTATTATCTCGTATTATGATTTCAAGCAGAAAGAAAAATTCACGAAACTCAAAAAACTGAGGGAGGCGCAAGCCACTTTACCAGTAGCTCAATATCGAGATGAGATTATTGAAACTGTAAAAAGGGAAAGAGTAGTTATAATAGCTGGAGATACAGGCTGTGGGAAGTCTACACAAGTGCCCCAATACTTGCATGCTGCTGGATTTGAAAAAATTGGTACGAAACTATAATATTGCAGTATCTAAAATGCTTTATAAATAAGATATTTTGGAAGGACTTTTGAATTTCAGCATGTACGCAACCACGCAGAATTGCATGCATCTCATTGGCTAAACGTGTAGCTTTCGAGACCCTCACAGAGAATTGCAACGAGATTGGCTATCAGATTCGTTTTGAGAAACAACGAAATCAGGACACCAAAATTACGTTCATAACAGAAGGACTCTTATTGAGACAAGTAATTTTTCAGTCGGTCTAAACACTATAAGTAATTTGAAAAGTATTATATTGAATTACCCATTTAAACAGGTATCTGGAGAATCAGGATTATCTCAGTATGACGTAATCGTTTTAGATGAGGTACACGAGCGACACTTGTATGGTGACTTTTTGTTGGGTATTATGAAATGCCTCTTGTATCAACGTCCTGATCTGAAATTAGTGCTTATGTCTGCTACTATTAATATACAGTTATTTAGCAGCTATTTTGCTAAAGAAAATGCAAAGGTGATACAAGTACGTGAAGTATTAAATTTACTTTAAGTAAAAGTACATGTCATTAAAATTTATACAAAGTAATTAATTTTATTTTCCAACATGCAGGTTCCTGGACGCTTGTATCCTATACAACTTTTATACAGACCTATTACAATCGAAGATGTACGATACAAATCCGAAAGGTTCAATCCTAGTCCTTACGTGCAAATTATGCAAATGATTGACCAAAAATATTCCAGTGCGTTATGAATATTTCAAGTTCACTGTAGTACCATAAAATCAAGAAATGCTACTTACGATTAAAAATTGAATGTCATATTTACAGGTGAAGAGAAAGGAGACTTACTGATTTTTTTGAGTGGTATGACTGAAATTACAGCAGTTGTAGACGCTGCTAAAGAATATAGCCAGAAAAAAAGTAATTGGATTGTGTTACCATTGCACAGCACACTTTCAATAGCCGAACAAGATAAAGTATGTATAGTTGGATTGGTTAAAAAATTCTGTTACAAGAAAATCTGTTTCTAGGTGTTCGACTATGCACCCGATGGTGTACGTAAATGCATAGTATCTACAAATATTGCCGAAACTTCTATTACCATTGATGGTATCAGATTCGTCGCTGATAGTGGAAAGGTAAAAGAAATGAGTTACGATCCTTCGTGTAAGATGCAGCGACTCAAAGAATTTTGGATTAGCAAAGCCAGTGCAGAACAGAGAAAAGGTAGAGCGGGAAGAACAGGTCCTGGAGTTTGTTACAGGTATCAAATACATGTTTAACTAAATAGGAAGTATACGATAAGGCCACTTATAAAATTATTTGCATTAAGAAATTCTCGATTTCAGAATTTATTCAGAAGAAGAGTATATGGCTTTGGAGAAATATTCAACGCCAGAGTTACAGCGAGTACCACTAGATTCCTTGTTACTACAAATGATGGCAATGGGACTTCCAGATTCCCGAAAATTTCCATTTATAGAACCACCTCCTTCTGAAAGCATAGAAAATTCCATACTTTCTTTAAAAGAACACGTGAGCGTTCATAAGAAAATAATGTTTTCAAGTATAATAAGAATATTTACGTTTACAACAAAGACACTACATGTTGCAGGGAGCTTTAACGGACAATGAAAAGTTGACATGCATTGGAAAAACATTAGCAAAGCTGCCTGTAGACATAACTATTGGGAAGATGTTGATAATGGGATCCATCTTTCACCAAGTCGAACCAGTATTGTCTTTAGCCGCAGCTTTGAGTATTCAGACTCCCTTCACCAATAGAGCTTACAGAGATTCGGAGTGTGAGGTAATTAAGTATATTCCATTCGATAAGAGAAAGTAGGATTTAAACGATAAGAAAATTAAAACAATTAAACGTAAGACTTCCAGAAAAAAACTTGAATCGGACCATGGAGATCCTATTACTCTCCTTAATGCATACAAAGAATGGTTAGAAGTAAAGCAAGAACGTAACCGTGAAGCAAGAGGTAGCGGAAGTAATAGTAGAAAATGGTGCAGAAGAAGAGGTTTAGAAGAGCAACGATTTTATGAAATGACGAAATTAAGAACACAGTTTAAGGACTTACTTCAAGTTAGTATTCCGTTATTTCTATTGCATCTCGAATTTTCTTACTGGTAATTAATACTGGTTTAATACTGGTAATTATTAGATTACTCATAATGGTTATTGTTAAGATTTGTACTCTGTTGAAACAATTTAACCGATGTGATATTTTAGGACGGTGGCTTACTGAAAAATCTTTCCGAACCAAGTTCATCTATGAGTAGTACGGAACGGGCAATGAGGCATGGAGAATTGAAGTTACTAAAATCTCTTAAAAGAACCTACAGACAAACCGCGCCAAGGAAACGCAAAGAGTTAAAGCTCGATCTGTTCGATATACAAATTGACGATAATGATAACAACGATGGAGAGATTGATATCAAAGACGTGGAATTTAGAATGAGAAACGATGCCTCGCAAGTACAGAATTTACTGACAGCAGCTACTGCGTGTAGTTACAAAGACTTAACAATGTTGAAGTTAATCCTGTGCAGTGGTTTGTACCCACAATTCGCAATTGCTGATGAGTTCAATTATTGCAAAGTAGGAAAATCATTTAAATTCTAATAACAATAATTTGTATTAGAAGTTTCATGTATTTTCCAATAATGCAGTTATTGTTTTCAGTCCATAAGCGAACAGCTGTTTCATACAAAAGCTAAGCCATACGTTGCACTGCATCCAATGAGCTTCTTTGGAAATCATCCGCAGACTCTACGATTGGAGGAACCAGATGTCGTAACAATCCCTGGTTTCAAATCAAAGACGCCAGTCAGTCCGAAACATCAGTTGCTAGCATATTTGTAAGTCCTCGATGAACAATCGATTTGATTATAGAATTCTAATTTTGTTTTTATTTAATTATATATATATTAACGTAATAAATCATTTGACCAGATCATTGCTGGAAACAACGAAGCCATACTTAGTGAACACACTTAGAATGCCAGCAGCCCAGACATTGCTGTTGTTTGCTCATGAAATTGATACCAATGCTACGTTATCCATGTGAGTAAACTAAAAAATGATTAACATTAAATTTCAAGTTTAATATTAAATTAAACTAATGCACTGAACGCCAAAGAATCATATTCTGTTCCCTTAGGATGATATGTGACTCGTGGTTATCAATAGAATTCCCAGTACCTGATAGCGGGCAGACATTACTGTTAAGGGCTGATAAGCTTCGACAAAAATGGGACTTTTTATTAAATCAGCGATTGCAAGGTATGCAATTCTCACTGAATCAATTATATTAGCATTGATGTTATAATTTGTATGGACGCGACAATTTTCAGAAATGACATCAACTACTGAATCAAGAGAGGATTCAAGCAAACTCGAGTACGAGCTGAATCATGACTTGATCGATTTTACGCATACCACTATTCCATACATAATAAGACGACTTTTGGTAGCAGATCTTAAAACAATATATGTCGGTCGCGGGGAGAATAATATACCCGTGAGTCCTAATCCTTTTCAGGAAGATTTTCAGTGTATCCCTCACGAAGTAAAAGGTGGCGTTAGATTGACAAGTAACATCACATATAATTGGTAAGATCAAATAATATGATAAAATAATTAATTCCTGCATTCTTTTAAATGGTACTATTAATTATTTTTCTACCAAAGTTTGATAGAGACCGAATGGAGCGATAAATTGGCAGTAGAGATGATGGAGACGGAATGGAATTGCCCGAAATGTGACATTCGGGCTACGTTAACTAGCATAGAAAAATTACAACATCAGGCGACTTGTGTAAAACCAACATCGGAGACAATGGACACCAAAACCGAGAGTTCCGCCAAGAAGAAATCTAATCACCAAGCTTATGAGTGTCCCGATTGCAAAGAAACCCTGTATCTAAAACCGATAGAAATACTGAAGCACAAAAAGCAACATCTAAAGAATTGTGAATAGGATCATCTCGTATTCGTTATAAATATTATTAATATGCAATCAAAGAATATACCAAGGAGTATCAGTATTTGAACTGCATTATACAATTAAAAATGCTAAGTTAAGTTTACACACTTTGTAAAGGCAATGTACACTTCTTAACTGTATATAGCGATCACTAAACAGGGAGATCTTTCTATTCCACAAGTGTTTATTATCACTAAGTCCACGGTAAAAAATTCGAGTACATAAAAGTCCCTACCACTAGGTATCCTAGGAAATAGCTATAAATTAATTTGTCTATCACGGTGTAATGTTTCTGCGTCATCAAGAACACTCTCCACTTGGAAAAAGTGTTATCTAATTCGTCATAAGTATTCGACTTCGAACTTGGCTTATAAGATAACGCGAACGCACAGTACCAATATATTAAAGGACTGGCCGATGCTAACAGGCGGGTACTAACTTGTATATGTACAAAAAACGTGCAAAACAGTGTCAGAAGTAGCCCATGGACAACGAAGACAAACATTTCGGGTGGATACCTCCACCTGGTGGGTTTCTCCCTCTCTTTCGCTCTCGGTGCCAAGTCCGTTGTCAACAATCGTTCCTTATGCTGAAGTAAATACTCTAAGCTACACTTGTACATCAGGAACAACGCGGGTAGTGCGACGAGAAAATTAGGAATCTGCCGGAACGTATAATATTCCATAAACCCGACGTTCCAATAAGTCTTCTGAACATAAGCGTACGCCATCGGGACGGAAGCATAACACCACGTTACGTTTCCACTTCCCGGCAATATCAAATCGTTTTCGATACCATATCGCAAAACATGCTCCGGCATGTACGAGCCTACCGACGTACTTGTACAGAACTCCATGTAATTGTACACCTGGAGCAAAATGAAAGGTACCAGAGAAAGGAATACGGTATTAAAGATGGAAAGTCCCAGGAGGAAAAAGCGAAACAAGCTCGACATGAAAGCTTTAAAAAGCGAAGTACCTTGGTACTCCGTAGCGATTAACGTAAGGAAATTGTTCAACCACGTGTAAACGGGAAAACCAAGGTTGACCAAGCCGTTCGACCTGACAATCGTAGATAGGCCTATGGGCAAATAATCGAAAGAGTTACCGCCAACGCTTGCCAGCATACCGTAAAACGACAAGTAGGCGAACATTGACTCCGTATAAAAGGCGGTAAAAAATATGCTGGCAGGGTTAATACAATAGAGGAGGCCAGCCTTGTAAGCTACGTCGTTGTTCTTCAGGACTTTAAGACTTAGGTCGTAGAAGATCACAGCTGACTTAACGAAGCATGCGAGATTGATCAGTACCGCGGATATTACGATTACGCTATCTTTGTTAAGGATAAATAGGAACCTTCCGATGATCATCGCGACCCCGCGGATCGACATAGGGAACAGCGGGAAGAACGCTAGAGTATTCTCATAAGTGTATCCGTATTTCGCAATGTGAATGAAATACTGGGCGTCCCATCTCGTCAGGCCGCTGAAGGCGCGGTGGATAACTCGGTCGAAGAAGCCCGTACTTTCCAGGGGATTTAAAGGGCTCCTAAATGCGTCCGCGTCGTGATCGGAGCAGACCGCGTTGCAGACGAATTGCCACATTATCACGCCTACCCGGCTGGTTATCGCGAACCAGAAAACCTTTTCCCGTGGCCCGTACATCGCCGATCGGATGATCCATTCAGTTCGGGATCTTTCGGTTCTTTCCCCGTGTAATCTCTGTCGAGATGGGAAGGTCCGACATGCGGTTTTTATGAGGAACCGATTAGTACGGCGGCATCCTGTTCGTCCTTATCACTGCGCGCAGGAAGCTCATGCGACTCTCGGCGATGACTCTTTTCCTCCTGGCGTTTTTGCGGCAGTCGATGAAACGCCCAGGCAGAACTGAAATTAATACCAGAAGGCTTTTTTAATATCCCCGTAGCGCTAGATATCTGAATACCTATCCACTGATAATTGACAAAATGTACATTGTGATCTGGTATCTACTTGTCCTCCATTCTCTGGGACAGGTAAAATCGAACCTGACATCCACCTTGCCTGAACGTGACTCTACCAATTTAACGAGTGAGTGTAGACAAATGAAATAAGTCTTTAATGAAAGGGGGTTCTTCCAATTTTTATACATATTTATATTTCTTAGACATGAGTGTTAACACATTAGCGACCGGCAAATTTGTGTCCCCTTCAAATACTGAGTACCGGCGGAAATAATGAAATTCTGAAACTGGTTGACGTGAACTTGTATCGTTAAGGGACGGATAAAAATGATAAAATTTGTGCGCTGCGCCGACTAACAATTACTGAGCCAACTGAGCAGGACGTGATTCACGTCAGCGGCAATCAGGAATAGAATTTAAAAAGACGTGAATCCACGTCACCGGCAACCAGGAATAGAATTTAAAATGACGTGAATTCACGTCAGCGGTCGCCAATGTGTTAAGGTAATTGCGCTTTGCAATGTTGAAAATCTTGATTACCTGTTGCGAGTGTAGATACTGAGAAGCCGGGAATCACAAATGCATTTTTCATTGACTGGCTACTCACTGGCTGTTGGAGCGATCAATTAAAGAAGTGTCCTTATCCTCAAAGAGGTCCTGTCGAATATCCTGGATACGATGGATGGAACAATAACGTGGGTCGTCCTGAACTAGGAGCGGTTGACACTCCTTTGCTCCGAAGGTGGCCTGCTGCTTACGAAGATGGAGTTTACAAACCTGCAGGACACAACAGACCCGAGCCATTAGAATTGAGTGAAAAACTACTGAGTGGAAACATCGGATCGAAATCCAGGACGGGAAAGAATGCACTTCTGGTTTTCTTCGGTATAGAAAATATTTCTACACCGAGAAAGAAAAAAAAAGGTTTCATCGAACCGAAGAAATATTCCTTTGAATGGTGCCAAAGAAATATTATTTTCATATTAATTTCGTTAGCCCAAAGAACATTGGCTCGAATAAATTGTCGCAATTCCGAAGCAATGTTGCATCCAATTGCATATATATAGGATTTTAATATACAAGTATCCGAATTTCAGAGGGCATGTATACTAATTTTCGATCACGTGCACGTACACAATTGCATTTATTTTGAGATAGCCGCGCTACGGTAAATTTATTAAGATTTGCACCGATTTCATTTCTCGCCCTATCGTTTCGTTAAAAATTTGGAATATTCTTGTGCGACTTCTAGAAATGGTGTTCGTAGAAATGTAGGAATCGAAACATTTTCAATGGTGTACTTGCAACTCGATGAGGCCGAGGGTAGACTTAGGAACTTCTTATTGGGTGCTTATTAATTAGGAAAAAAAAAATGTTTTTCATTAATCCAGGCCAGCAAGTGGTGGAGGAGATTCTGGATGCCCAGAGGCCAGCCTGCCCCCCCGAATACTTTAACATCAAAATCCCAGAGGGTCATCGATACAGGACGAAACCAGGACACACCGAGAAACCATTTTTGCGAACTCGTTACGACGCCCGCACGGGATTCTCTCCAAATAATCCTCGTCAACAGGTTGATCCTTTATCCACGTTTCATTTTGACCCCTCGATAGAATCGTAATAATTAATCTGAAGGATATTAGCATATAAAAAAAATTGATATTTCAAGCTCAACGAGATTACGCCGTTCTTGGACGGAGGCTTAATTTATGGGACCACTAAAGCATGGTCGGATGTCCTGAGACTTTATTCCAATGGGACCCAAGACCCCAACGGTCTCCTAGCTTCGTCCCATGGGTTGCTGTATCCAGAGTATAACACCATAAGACTGCCCATGGCGAATCCTCCTCCACCAATCCAACACCATACGTACACCTCCCGCCATTACACCGAAGAAGTGACGAGATATTTCAGTAATCATTAACATTTAATAAGGGTATTATTAAATAGAAGAAGGGACAGCCCATAGTAAATCCATGATTAAATTTCCAGAGCTCCCTATTTTTTGCATAATTTTAAGGAACGTATAATAGAGAGAAATTCGTTTCAGAGCTGGGCAACCCCCGAGGGAATGAAAATCCCTTTCTCCTGACTTTTGGTATCGTCTGGTTCAGGTGGCACAATCATCTCGCATATCGTATCAAGCGAATCAATCCTAATTGGTCTGGAGATAAGATTTTTAACGAAGCTAGGAAATGGGTTATTGCCACGCAGCAGCATATTGTTACAAACGAATGGTTGCCCATGTGGCTGGGCAGAAGCTTGCCTGAATATAAAGGTGGGTATTGTCGGTTAAGTACTTCCTCGTTACGAAGGAAACAACCTTTGGTATTAATATTCTTCTTGATATTCATTAAATAGGGTACGATGCCAGCGTGGATCCTCAGATCGATCAGTTCTTCCAAGCCGCGGCTTTTCGATTCGGGCACACTTTGGTGCCTCCTGGTAAACTCTCTTTGAGGAAATCCTTCATTGAAAGATTTTCCAAGTTTCCCAGTAGTGATCTCAATTTTTTTTCAACAGGTGTATACATGAGGGATTACGGGAGGAACGGCTGCCATTTGAGATTCAATGGACGTGCGATTAGGACGTGCAACAGTTACTGGATGTCGCACGTATGTAACTTCAATTATTCTCACTCAAGGCTCAAGGAAGGTACTCAAGTGTACAGCTTTAAGGTGTTATGAAAGGGTCATTGTATACATAAAAACGTCATAATATAACACTTTTCTCTAAACTAAGTGCATCATTTGAAACTGCAACAAGTGTTTATGGAGACCCTAATAAAGAACGAGATTGATGAGATTTGGATGACGAGATTGAATTTAAAAAAAAATATATGTATCGTTGGTTTTAGTCTGTGACATGTAAAAGTTGTTGTATTTTTTTTCCTATGAAATGTCATGAACATCATGTTTTTCCTTAGGTCTTCCATATTCACGCGAAGCGTGATGCGTAAACTATACTAACGGAATAATCACAATGTAAAGTAATAATTCTCTTGCAGAACGCTCTTTACGAGAACCTCACGAGACTCGACGGCGTGATTGACATAGAACGTTTATTAATGGGCATGTCGGTGCAACTATGCGAGGAGGAGGATCACAAAATTGTCGAAGACTTGCGGGGACATTTGTTCGGACCTTTAGAATTTTCAAGGCGAGATTTGATGGCCCTAAACATACAACGAGGCCGAGACCACGGGCTCCCGGATTACAACACAGCAAGGATGGCGTACAACTTGCCAAGAGTGGAGAATGTGTCGTACTACAAAAATGTTGCTCCCGAGGTGAGACCAACAACGGTACATCCGTGATCAACCTATTAATTAATTTTTCAATTACACCTCAAAGATTCTGAAGGAATTTCAACGCCTGTACAACAACTCCTTCGACGACGTCGATGTATGGGTGGGTGGAATTTTGGAAACCGTCGACGGACCAGGTCCACTCTTCCAGGCAATTATTCACGACCAATTCGAGCGAATACGTTCCGCCGACAGATTCTGGTACAAGAACACGAACAACGGGTAAATCCTGGCAGACTATCGAGCTCCACCCACCCGGGAGAATTCTACATCGCGTACAGCAGATCGTTAAATTAATTTCAATACTTTTCAGACTGTTCACAAAGGACGAGATCAAGAGGCTCGAGCAATTGTCACTTTACGACGTGTTAATATCCATAACGTTAATGGACCCCGACGACATCCCGAAAAATCCCTTCAGAGTCCCTGTATCCGGTAAATTCTTTACAAGCGCTTCGCAGTACACGTGAGACGCATTAAGAAATTACTATAACCGAATTAACCGATGTACATGGGAGTTTTTATTTCCCTCCAGAGAGTGACATCCACCCCTCGTGCACGGAAAATAAAATCCTCGTGGCAGGGAACTGTCGCACCTTCGGCGCTGACGGAGTAAACATTCCCTGTTTCCACGTGAGCCAAATTAATTACACCAATGTCGACAATTGTACGGAGGCCGGGACCTACGACTACTTCACCGGCAGCGAAATCTCATTTTCCCTGACGATTTCAGGACTAGTTACATTTATTATCGGTAAATAATTAATATCACAAACGAATCCTACAGGGCGATTATATAAACAGGTACATCTTTTTACGCAGGATTTATCACCTTGATCGTCACTAGGATTCGAATCAAGAGGCAAAGGAAGATGCAGCTTAATTCCAAAGTGCGGCAATCAGACTACAGGAGTGACGAGCCCGATTCGATGTTCACCGGCGAGTAGACAATAATTAACTAATGGTCATTAATGTTAGTCACCGAGTGTAATATCGATACTTCATTCAGCCAGTGAATGGATAGATCGCTCGCTGCCGAACAAGCCTCTGATAATAGTTTTAAGCGGCAATAAGAAGCAGATACAGCTGAAAAATCAACTGGGACACCTAACCAGGCTGCTGGATTTCACCTACACTCCTAGCATGACGGTACATCACTTAGCGATATATCCTTATCAATTTATACCTCCTTCCTTTTTCCTACCCTCAATGTAATTAAAATCGGCCCTTTTGTGAATTAGGTCTACACGACGTCCGACAACCACTACGTAATGATTCGTGTCAAGCACAATTACGACACTTTATTGAAGTTCCAGTCCGACTACATCCGGGGCTTGTTCCTGCAGGCCCTGGATAATTTCGTCGCAAAGGTTGGAGTAATTCGGGAAGACGTAGGGAACATTACCACCAAGGAGATCATGAAGCAAGCGGTTACCAGAAAAAGCCGACAGAAGAAATTGGAGAGCTTCTTCCGCGTGGTATTCTCCCAGGTGCGGCAAAAGATAAATACGAATTTTTTCACAAATTCTTTCATCAAAGTTAAGCCCGTAAGTTTAAGGGAAATTAAGTTAACATCAACTTTCGACTTTCCAGGCCTTCCATATTGCCCATTCGGAGGATGAAATCCTTCAAATTGACTCCACAGTTGCGAAGGAAATCATATACACCGAACTGACCATTATTGAATTCGCAGAGGCGTTGAGTATGCGTCCCGACTCGGAGTTCATAAAGAAGGTGAAGACACGATTAACAATGAAAAATCATGCCCGCCATGTCTTATACGGTAGAGAAAATTAATGTTCACGATATGCTGCCGCGTTCTCAGATATTCAACCTAGTAGACAAGGACAAAAACGGATTCGTGTCTTTCCGAGAGTTCGTCGACATGTTGGTGATATTCCTGAAAGGCAATGCGGAAGACAAGGTGAAGCTCATGTTCGACATGTACGACGTCAACGGTACAGGGAGGCTCTTAAAGGAGGACTTTGTGAACATGTTAAGGTATTGCAAACCTATAAACTAAATCACCTGGTTCCAGATTGGAAGAATAATTTAAGCGTCATTAACCCCCTGTACCCGAATTTTTGTTTCGAGTCACGAGAAATTGATGTACCGTGAAATTAACAAATTTTCCCCTTTGATATTAACTACTTTTCCATATATTTCCAATGTATATAAATTCGTCTAAACTGTAAATCTTATAAGTGAAGATTTTATAAACAAATCCCTTGGATACAAAGGAGTGGTACAATGATAAAGTGCCGGGTTATCATTTTAATGAAATAGGAGTCGAAGAGTATTGGATATGTAAATATATAACATCAAGATCCAATAGCATTTCAGGATAGCATTAATTCCCACAAGCAATTAGAATTTAGGGAATACAATTAACCGATCCTAAAGAGTGAGGCAGAAGAACAGTGAGAAAATCATTCCAGATCATTCATGGAGACCGTCAACGCGGACGTGACCAACACGGAGTTGGAGACTCTCGTGCAAACGATGATGAACGAGGCAGGGATCTCGCGAAAAGAGGCAATAGACCTGCAGGATTTCCAACGATTGTTGGGCAAGTACAGCGATAAATTGAGCTACGCAGAATTGGAGTTCAACGTGGGTGCCGACGGTAAGAGTACGAAATTACACGCGGGTTCCTCAACGGTGAGGTCAACATTCATCGGCCAAGTAAAGAAGACCGTAGAGAGCATTTACGCCGACCCTGAAGAGCTGAAATCCAGAATCGCCGGCAACGTTCCCGTCAACCAAGGCCAGAATAACCGGACGAGTGTCATCGACGGGGACCAAAAGATCATCGAGGACTCGGCCAAGCATCAGGATGATTATTGGTACCCGATCCAGAAGTACATCGCCAATAAACAGCTTCAGATATTCTGGATATCTCTTTACACGGCGGTACTGTTCGCGATATTCGCGGAGCGAGCTTATTGCAAGTATTACATTCCTACGTATCGGGTGTACAAAGGGAGTTAATAATGTCATTAACAATTGTTAGATATTACGGGGCATAAATCATACATTTTCCGTTTTTCTTAGATTATTCCATAGAGAGAGAGCACTCAGGACTGAGGCGAATCGCGGGCTACGGGGTTACTGTTACAAGAGGAGCAGCTTCGGCAATGATGTTCACGTATTCCACATTGTTGATCACCATGTGCCAGAACACGATTACGTATTTCCGCGACTCTGTTCTGCAGTATTACATTCCTTTTAATTCGGTCATCGAGATGCACAAGTACATCGCGAGCTGGGCCTTGGTCTTTACCGGTAAGTCATGTCATTGTATACGTTAATTGACAGCATGCGATCAAAGAAATCAGGGTACTCTTTTAACTGTTATTATAAACGGAAAATGTAGAGAAATTAATACGTAACATTTTCAGTGGTACATGTTATCGGACATGGGATCAATTTTTATCACATCTCGACGCAGACGGCGGACGACCTGACTTGTCTGTTTCCGAATTTCTTTCATGCGTATGTAAAAATAATACGAACGGTTACATCGGGATTGTTGCTAACAAATATTCTATTTTCTAGGACTCATGAATTACCGAAGTTTGATTATTGGTGCTGGAGAACTATGACAGGGGTTACCGGTATAGCTTTAACGATTCTAACTGCGGTGATATTTCTCTGCTCCCTTCAAATCGTCAGAAAGGAACTCTATTATTGGTTTTATCGCACCCATTGTTTGTATCCGGTTTTTTACGTCCTTTTGATTCTCCACGGCACAGGTAGATTAATTCAGGTAAGGGCACCTTGTATGTAAATCTTACCTATCAAATTATCCGATAATTAAATGTTTCTCTTTCCTCCGTTAAATAGGAACCATATTTCCATTACTTTTTCCTGGGGCCTGTTACTCTATTCGCATTTGATAAGCTCATTACAGCGACGAGGAAGACTACGGAAATACCGATAATAAAAGCAGAATTGCTGCCCTCAGGTAATTAATATTTTAAATCGCGCCGAGCGTTTGTATCTTCGTTATTATATATTTTCATTTATTTTGTCAGACGTGACCTGCATTACTTTCCCGAAACCGCCGAATTTCCAGTACAAATCCGGTCAATGGGTGAGAATTGCGTGTCCTGGACTTCATACCAACGAGTACCATCCATTTACTTTATCTTCTGCTCCAAATGAGTCCAATTTAACCGTTCACATCAGAGCCGTAGGACCATGGACCATTAACATTCGAAATAAATTAGATCCTGCAACAATGATCGACAAAAAATTGCCAACGGTATTCTAAATAATTTCAATAATTTCAATTACTCCAATTTACCTAATTAAATAAGCGGTACGATTATGTTAAATTAGATGTGGATGTGTTAATTAAATCGTAATTGTTAGATTCATGTAGATGGACCATATGGGGAAGGTCACCAAAATTGGAATAAGTATGACATCGCTATAATGGTAGGCGGTGGTATAGGAGTAACTCCCTTCGCTTCGATACTGAAAGATATAGTTTTCAAGGCTAATCAGAATCTGACTTTGGGGTGTAAAAAGGTAAATTGAGTCAGTCTTATTAGTAATATAAATTGGAACCGGACATTTTCCTACCGATAACTTATTCTAGGTATACTTTCTGTGGATAACACGGACTCAAAAACAGTTCGAATGGATGGTGGATATTCTAAGAGACTTAGAGAAGTCTGATGTAAAAAATGTTGTGTCTGTCCATATTTTCATTACCCAGTTCTATGAAAAGTTTGATCTCCGCACAATACTCTTGGTATGACGTTTGCAGCAAACGGAAACAATTTCCAAAGTGTGTTATTAATGACAGTCCCTATTTGTAATACATTTTTAATTTCTTGCAGTACATTTGCGAGCGTCATTTCCAAAGGATTTGTAATAAGTCTTTATTTACTGGCTTGGTAGCTGTTACTCACTTTGGCCGGCCCAAGTTTCATTCGTTCTTTCAAGCTATTCAACGATTACATCCAAGAGTAAGGGTGATACCTCTTTTTAGATTCTAGACATATCTGTACAATTTACATAACAAATGATTTGTCCATTCTATAGTCCAACAAAGTGGGAATCTTTAGCTGCGGTTCGCCATCAATGACACGTGCCGTTGATGTGGCTTGTAGATTGCTCAACATCCAAGAAGACAATCAAACGTTATTTCAGCACCATTACAAGAACTTTTAAACCATGTTTCATTTTAATAAACTTTCTCGCAATCAAATAAACCTGCTCATTTATAAATTCAGTAAAATTTCGAAAATCTTTGAAGATGTTCACTACCGCTACTGCATTAAAAATGTAAACCTAAAGAACTCATTGTTCCGCTGCGTAACAAAAGTATTTTATATATTATTTCTTAGAACTATTTTTAACTAATAGAATCTACATATTTCCTTCCGTACTTATATTACGATATAAGATAATCATTACCAGTAAATCCTTCACCTTGTGAGCACAAGGGATTGCACATACAGCTCCGATTAACAAATCTGAATTATTGCTAAAGATAATAATTATCTAGAATAATCAGATTTTTAATATGTTTAAAACTTGTCGCTCTGTAATAGCATTTCCACGAGTGAAGAAATTCTACAACGGTAATCACCGATAACTCCTAACACTGTTATCTAACCTCAAATCCACAGCTGTCAATCCAATATATATTCGCCAACTATTCCAAATAATTACTATCAGTCGGAATAAATTGATAATAATCTTTGGAATATGTATCATTAATTAGTATTACAAAATGTAAAACACCTCTATAGTGGAAATTTCTAAAAATCGTTATTTAAAGTGATCTAACCTCAAATTCGCTGTTATCGGTTTTAGAGCCCGTTAAATTTTCATCCACGAAGCCTGGCGACGAAACTGCAGAGAGCCCGAGGCTGAAGGAGTTCCGGAAGAAACTTCGTGAAAAAGCACCGATAGGTATCACAAAACTAAACGATTAAATTCAAAAGATAATGTTACTGTCTGCACCATCTGAAGGAACCTCTGATACTCGTCTTTACAGTCCAGTAAACTAATTGTCCTTATCTAGAGCAGTTTTTGCTCAAAGTACTATACATAGGAATATAAAATCAAATAGTGTCAGAAAGGCTTATTAAATTTATCCTACAAGGATTAATTCATTTTGTGACTTTCTGTCATAACTTTTGATATCGAAGAACTATATGACTAACCGTATTTCAATAAAGCGGTACAAATTCTATTTTCTTTAGAAAAGCTAGATGAACTCGAGGAAGGAAAGCATCCTGATCAAGAAAAAGAACCTTTAAAGCCTTTTCCAAATGCAACTAATCCAGAAACAGGTGAAGTTGGTGGGCCTCGGGGACCAGAGCCTACACGTTACGGAGATTGGGAGAGAAAAGGACGTGTAACAGACTTCTAGAATTATTAGAAAAAAATAGTACAAAGTAAACAAGTTTGTATATAGACGTGCACTTCCTAAGTTATGAATTATTAAAGGAAAAATATGGATTCAAAATATGTAATGTAATATACCGTGCAGCCCTTAACCACCTTTACTTTCCCTCTTACACCTATGTACATAACAAAAAACAACAGACAGAAGCCGTCGATATAACAACCGATAAACAACCTTTTTTTGCTTTCTCATAAATGGCAAAAGGCCTTTACCTTTCTAAAACCTAAAGGGAGAACATTGAATTTATTGCCAGATAAAAACATGTTCACAAGACTAAACATCAATACACCACTGAAAGTCCAATCGAAGAATATGACAAAAAGTAAAGTCACTTTATTTCATCGTAACCAAATTAAAAAATTTCCTTCCCACTGTTTCATGGCTTGAATCGACACAGGTGTTGTCTTAAGAGCCACTAAAGCTACGGATGTATCTAAACAACAGGATACTGACATCAAACCCACTCCACCAGGACATGCATCGGAGATGAAAGAAGACTCCGAGTCAGAAAGAATGAAAGAGTTCCGAAAGAAATTAAAGTTAGAACCTATACCCCGTAAGTCCCAACACCTTCATACGCGCTGCAAGGTCGTTCTTATAAATGAGATTCCATGTATAAATGTAACATCCCACAGGAATATCCCCAGGAATGAGATTCGTGGATCTGGTTCTGGTGGAAACGGACCCAAAGACTGGGGAATTAATACCGGACAGCGAAAAGGAGCCAACAAAGTGGGGAGATTGGCAGATCGGAGGGCGAGTAAGCGACTTCTGAAAGCTTCGACGTTTCGTTTCACGAATCGCGTTCATTTGACGATACAAATGTATATCCAAAGTACAAGTAAAAATAACAATCTCAATTCGATTTTAATCTAAAAAATTAATACCAACTCGCAGTTCTTAATTACACCCTTAAGTGTAACTCGCGACACCCCGATAGTCGCATACCGGATGATTCCAAGACACGTCAGGCGGTCAATGCTAGATGAACAGTTCCCAAACAGTCCTAGAAAAATCCCGAATCTGGCTACTGCAAGACCCCACGACACGAAGGAAAAAAAAAACCAAGTACCATCACGGATCCGCCTTCTCTCATGGAGACACTTATACACTAGCCGATTAATTACACTAAGGAGAAAGTGAGTTAGCCTTCCGATGAATATATACAACTGCGGAGTCTCCCGATCAAACGAATAGACGCGTTACATGTGCATTGTTGCCGGAAATCAGGTACAAAGGCAGACGTGACTTGACGTTTACGGTGTACGAGCTAAGAAGAAACAACGCGATTGTTCTTATGGTACCGACTAAACGAACGCATATCCATGTTGCTCTCCGTCACCTAGCATTGATGTAGCCTGGAGAAGAGACCGTCCTTCCACTAACGTCGCCCGTACGAGATTGCGCGTACTCCCTTAACGAGTAGTAAACTATAAAGTTTTATTGATAGCTAGCACGTCGCGCATCATCATGTTCCTGAGTGTCCACAGGGCGTTAACCACGTTCCCGTGGTTGCCAACGCCATTTCCGAGCCACTCGGCAGGTAGTTTCGTCACTTCCGGAATCTGCGTGTTCTCAGAGGTGGCGTTCATCTGTTTGTCCCAGTTTGATATGTAGCGATTCTCCACGTTCAGGCCCTCGATGTACCTAAGAACCAATCGCGAGATGCATGAAAATACCCTAAATTAGGTAGATTCTTGAATCCACCCCCTCAATTACCTCAAGTACGCATCTGAATGTAGCACGCGACTAGGTCGAGGTGGAACAGCGACGAACATGGGCTCCGGTTGCTTAACAATAGGTACAATGCTGGTTTGGGTAGCGGCCGCTGAAGTTTCTAAGAAAAAATGAGGTACAAGGACGTGCTCGGCGTAACGTGGGTTAGTGGATCCTCCGGAGACGAGCTGGACAAAATGGGGACTTAATCCGGTAATCGGCAATATCCCACAAAAACGGCAGTCAACCAGGCAAGACACCTCGCACGTAATTACCACGCACTGCCTAGAAGAGCTCCTCTACCTTACGTTGAAGAGCCTTGCCTAGAGCCTTGCTTAGAAGAGCTCCCCTACCTAAAGTTGACCACTTTGCCCAGCTGATCCCATATTATGGAAAGTCGATCGGAGTTTGTAAAGCCACCATTGGTTGACCTCGAATGACTTACCCGTCTCCATGGGTGGCAGGACGGTAGGTCCCTTCGAGGCTACGTAATTCCTGGAATGAGGTAAGAATCTTATTGAAATTAGGTGCAATTGTCCGGGACCATCGCGAGTCGTACGGGCTAATCCCTCGACTTACTTGCTGCGCTCCGCGGGAGGAATAACGCGTCCGTTTCCTTTCAGGATGTGGACCTCCTTGACGTGCCTGGCTAGTCTCTGTACACTCGGGAAGGGAGGAACCGACTTCTTCATGCGTCCACAGCCACGCCACTGGCATTGGTACTCGACATCTGAAAAGGAACCTTCGGTTACCTCCAAATTCAGTCATCAAATCCCTGGACTATACCTCGACCGGGACACCCTGAAGTGCGTATATTTACCGCTAGGGGCACTGGCAAAGTAGTTCTGGACATGTCCGTTTTGCTCGGCGATACAGTGATCGATGCAGTCGGTCATGTCCTCGAATTGCCAGTCGCAATTGTCCCAGCAGCACTCGTAGACATGATCCGGAGAGCCTAAGCCCGATCCGGAGTTGCCCTTAATCTGTCCGCCGTCCTCGTTCATCTTCACCGCCCTCTCTTCCCAGGCTTGCTTCTCGCCAGCCGGCAGCTTCCTCCACTGAAACGTGATTTACAATCTGACTTATATCGCGGCCCCTCGGGTCCGACTCGGAAGGCTTTTTCAAGAGCTTTATCCGCACCCCTTTCCACGAGCGAATCGGGGAATCAGGTGAACCAACCGCTACCCCCTAAAGGTCGATTCGTCCCCTATACGAGACGTATCGGTTACAGCACTTGCCGGTGTTCATACCCTGAACACCGTTAACAGTGGCATTGAAACGCATCTTACAATGTTCCCTCGAAATGCCACCGGCACGTGTCGGAGCCTATACGCATCGGATATGGTGAATCAACCTTAAGGCGACGCTAAAGTGGCACCTAAGGGATAGATCAATCGCTATGACGCTTTTATCCAAACAGGTTCGGCCGAATCGTTCGAAATTTCGCCACGCGAATATGCAGGCCCCGCGGAAGGTCCCGCCACCCTTGAGACATCATGTTTCATCCATTCAAAAATGTTTGCAATCAAATTGAAGAGACAAAAATGAAATTTCACGGGTGTCGGGACCTTTTTCAGGGTCTCCATATTAATCTGGTGGATTTTCACGAGATTCGGTGCACCCAGATCGAAGAAAAGCTTCATAAAAGGACCCCTCGGATGGCACTTTCGTGCCGCCTTAATGCTCGCCGTGCGGAAAGGTCTGACATTAGGGGGTGGCCGCCTAGAATAAAACCTGATGAGCTTCAAAGAGGATTCGTCCGGGATTAATTCTACTTTGGGGGAATTCCTTATCTCGAGGGGGGTGAAGAGAGAAAAATAATAATAATAACAATAACAAATGAGAGAAGCATTTTAATGAAGTGGCGAAGGTAATGGCATTGCGTGGCTCGGTTCATACTTGACTGTGTCGCTTCCAAGCCCGACCAGGATTGCAGAAAGGAAAAAGAACGCCTAAGTGCCGTTTCCTCGCCGATCTCGCGACGTTCCGATAGCCCGGATAGGTTTTCGCACCTTTCAACGATCCCAACGAACTTACTTTACGAGGGCCCCGGGGTTAAAAAATTCGAAACAAAGGACCTGGCCGAGGTTGGAAGTTAACGAGTTAACGTGTGCCTTTCGTGATACGCATTTCCAGATTAACACCAACGCACCGGTATGGCGATACGACCCCTAAAGTGCAGTCCACGTGAGATATAATCCCTTAAGGTGAAGTGAAACCCTCCTCTAATCAATCGATTCGAATGACACGTTTTTTTTTTTTTTTAAGGGCGAATACTACAATTTAGAATGCTCTAATAATCAAGAAACTTACATTTAAACGGGATAAAGGCAAAAAACAGTGTCCTACAAGCTTCCGTCAATATAAATACGAACGTCGATAACGTAGGCATTTAGAAGAATCTCTTTTGCCGACGTCGATTAAATTTCACGATGGGTTTCACTTCACCTTAAATGTTAATAAAACACCGTATGAGTATATTCACGTGTGATAACTGTCACGGCTACATTAATCCACATAGAGGCCAAGGTTGGAAGTTAACAAGTTAACGAGTTAACGTGTTCCTCTGTGACACATTTCCTGGATAACACCAACGCATCGGCATGACGAAGGCGACCCCTGCACTGAGAAAAACGATTAGTTGACCAAAACAAATATATACTCTTCACATACATATTACTTAACTCATATATAACGGTAAAGACAATTATTTCGTCGAGAAGAAAAATTGACGTCGATTTAAAATAATTCTCTTTAGCCAATCCGACACATTTCTTCGAGTCAACCTTTTCTTTCTTTCTCAGTGTAAGGAGCAGTCCACGTGAGAAATGATCCGTTAAACGTCATAAAGAATAAAAAAATAAAATAAGAAAATCCTAAACCGTGTAAATATATGTATATTCACATGTAACAACTGCCACGGCTGTATTAATCCACACAGAGGCGTAAGGAAAAATCCTCAAAGAAACCCCCGAAGACTCCTCCTCTTTGCAAGCTCCGGCTACGCAGACAATAAAACGAAATGGGGGAACCAAGAGTGAAAAAAGAAATAAGTACCTCGTTGCCAACAATTCTGCTAATCTCCCCGAAGGACGAGTCAGGATTGTTTTGCGTAATCTGCGTGCGCATTTTACTCGAATACAAAATATAGCCCGTAACTAATTTCTTACCCGTCGGTTTCTAAACAGAAGAGAAAACACAAATTATAACCTCTCGCCTCCGCGTCTGCGAGCGAGCATCGCTTTTTCGGCGCTCCTTCTTTAACGGCGCGTAAAAAAGGGACACGCCTCGACGCACCGCGTGCACGCGTCTAACCGTCGATAGCTAGACACTGATAAAGGGTGATACAAAGTGTGTGTGTGTACTGATATATATATACATACAAGTCATACCCAAATTATAAAATCCGGCTCCTTGTTAAAATAAAAAATAAAAAAAAATAAAAAAACACCCAGCCGTTTTATAAAACACAGCCAGATGGTCAAATCTTCGTTTGCTTAGCTTTAATAAGAAACTCGGTAGAGTTTCACGCCAAATACATGTATGTACTAGCGCGAAACACTGACCTAGTCATTATCTGCGATGTTTACCCTGGTGCAGAGGTTTAACAATCCGGCTAGACGGTTTATAAAACATTAAGTTTTAAAGGTCTTAGGCCAACATTGTCGAACTCATTGAATTGCCTGCATTACATCCCGATTGAATTATTTCGGAGTCATTTCATAAGAAGCGTCCCTCTCTACGATAATTTTATAAAACATCTCCATCCTCCTCGTTCGCCTTATAACGCTTCGATCGACAAGCATTAAGGAAAAAAAAAAAAAAAAATGGCTGTGTACAGGACAGCTCTGTTTAAAATTCACTCACGTAATCTCCTCGCACGATCGATCAGACATCACGTGGATATCCATTCTAAACTGAGTTAACGCGTTTTAGAAAATAACAGAGACGCTTCAGCCGGATACGACAAACCAGGCGGCAAAATAACGAGTTCGACAATGGGACTTTTAATCTCTCGGCCGTTCCCGAAAACGCCGCAATCCGTTTAATAAAATCTCTCACCGTATGGTAAAACAAAGCAAAGTGAACGAAGATCCAATCACCGGTCCGCGTTTCGCAAAACGGCGATGCGTTTTCCAATAATCCGGATCCCACAACGTGTCTAGGTCATTGTGCAAAGAGAGAGAAAAAAAAATAGAGTCTGGACTGAGAGCAAGAGAGGAAAAAAAAAGAAAGAGAGGGCGACGTGAGAGATCAAAAAAGTGTACCGAGGAACGTAAGAGATGACCAAAAAAAAAAAAGGAATAAAGAAGGAAGTCTCTCTCGGCGGTGCATCGACACAAGGTGTGTGGTGTGTATATATATATATTTCGCTGGCATATTTCTCTGCAAAATGAGGCCAAATCAAATTCGAACTCGAGTGAACTGAAATCATATAAAGTAAAAAAACTGTATGGTAATAAAGGTGGAGGTCAGGTAGAGAGAGAGAGAGAGAGAGAGTGAGCGAGGGGAAAACCTCTGGAAGCGAACGAGTTGTAACTACGTGGTCCACGGCAAGGCCTACCTTCTTGGATGATACAGGTGTCTGAGCATTGGAGAGCACCGGTTGAGCTTCCGTAGATCCCACGGACGGTGGACCGCCAGCATCCATGCTGTCCTCACCCGCACCTACTCCTACTCCCACGCCTAATCCCGCTCCCATGCCTAGCACATCGGGATCCAGCTTCGGTAGCAACGGGGATGCGTCCTACACCATGTGCCTCACGTTACGTAGCGCTCTCTCTCTCTTTAAGGTGTACCGAAAAGACCGACTAAAGAACGCTCCCGCGATATCGTTCGTTTGCCATGTGGCGAGCCCGACTCAATGATCCCGGCAAAGCCAAATCTAAGCCCACCGATGGACAAGGCCTGTATCTCTTAACGCCGATTCAAACATGATCCTGTATAAACCGTGAAGTATCCATGCACGTCCGTACAGAGGATTCGCAAAAAGCGCGGTGGTCATCGGAGGTCGGGATACATCAAGAAGTAATGACCCTTTCAGTCGAGGACCTCTGAGGGATCGCGCCAGTTCTTGACGGAGAGAGGAGTATCATATATAAAAAAAAGGAAGCGCAAGTGGAAGTCGTAAGAGAAGAGAGAGATATGAAATTCGCTATGTTAGGCAGAGAGATAACCGCTGTTGGAAGTACATCTTCTCGGTAATTCCGGATGTCGAAATGACATTTTCCATGTATACTAAGGACAAACTGAGTCTGGAGTTAACGCGAGATGTTGGAGAGAACCGATGTATTGGTTTTCCCCTTACCGGAGATACGAAAGGAGCGACTGTTGCCCCGGTGTCGAGGATCACTGACGGCATACCGACCCTGGCACGGACGGGCATGGATACGGATAAGAAAGTGCATGGGTATATTAATATAAATCCGAGGTGTTAAATGTTATACCCCTCGGTACACGGAATCGTCACGGGCCCTGTACGGATGTGTCTGAATCGGCCTTTATACATTGATACGTACGACTGGGTACCGAGGTAAGTGGCGTAATCGACATATCATAGTAATCGAAGTATCGTTCAAGATATCACAATCGACCAAGGAGGTAGTGCAGAATTGGGTGGTACTGTAAAATTTCATAACATGGATTCCAAAGCGAGCTGGCATTGAAATTCATATTACAAGCTTCAGCATTACCATCAAGCTTCTGTCTTATCTTATAGTAAATCGATTGTGAGCGATACTTATAAGGTCATGAAGGAAGGAAAGAGCGGCGCAACCACAGGGTGGAGGAAAGGAAAACGGTGGAGGTGTGTCCGATAGGGTGGAGTCGTAGGACTCTTCGAATTTGTAATCGACGTGACCACGTTGAGACGTAGCGACATCTTTATCGTAGACTGATAGCAGAAGAGGAGGTGGCTGGTGGTCAATGGAGGGATGTACCGAAATTACGCCACTGTCCTTGGGCTTCCAACTCGTCCTAGATACATCCTCCGAGTCGAGGGTCACCGGAACGGCAAAGATTCTGTCCGACTCGAAGCTTTCGGTTGCCTGATCGACCAAGGAGCGATACCACTCGAAGCTTCACCAAGGACTACTTCGAAGGAAGCTTTATCTCAGCGATAAACATAGGAGACGACCGGGCTCATACCTCTATTTTAGCATTAAAAGACGTCTTCTATCTATAGTCTTTAACCCATTCACTGCCAACTACGAGATACCTCGTAGTAAGCGTTTGTACCAAGACTGCCTCTAAATTTTCCTGCCAGTGAATGGGTTGAATGGCTAAAAGACCCCTCTTAACATTAAATGTGAGACACGTGTACAAGCTTTATACTATGAAGCATCGTACTGGGCAAATTACAGTAATTTATAAAATTAGTTAAAGAAAAAAAATATATATAAAAAATAAATAAAAATAAAGAAATAAAAAGAAATGAAAGCTTTCGAATTCTTGCTACCTGAGTATTTGACGTTTATTGAGTAAATTGCTATTTATCGAAGAACTATCACCTTACGGCTTCTATTACCGAGTACATTTGTTGATAGATAAAATGAAACGACTGGTTAAATCGACGTTGTTTAGTCGATCGACTCGGAGGATCGCTCCTTTTAGATCAGGTGGCCGAGGCGAACAACGCCTTCGTAAACTGGAAAAGTATATCCTGATCTATCTAGTTACACGAAGGTGTAATTGTATATAAGTTGTACGTAACACGTAGTCTTTATCCCACTTTCGAATAACATACAAATGACTGTTTCTACTATCCCGGATATATATATTTATATATATCCGTCAGAGGTATTTATCAAGTCAAAGAGTAGTAAGTATCCGAGTGATGTACAGAGGACAATGCACGGGCCCTCGTCAGGGTACATTACGGTAAACATGGAAGCGAATACATATGCTCCGAACTTGAAATCTTTCCACTGTGTTATGCCTATCGATAAACCCAACAGGTGCTCTGAAGTTCAGTCTTGCTTACAACTCGACAACTAGTCACAACTAAATGGTTACAACAAAACCAGGTAAATTAAGAAAAAGAAAAAAAAAAGAAGAGAAACAATGTTGCAAAGGAGGGATATAACAGAAAGAAAAATGTGAATATGCCGGCATAAAAAACAAGGTACATGCACGAACACAGACTAACACAGTCTGATATTACTGGCGAGAGCGACGCGCGGTTCTGAGGATTTCGATTAACCGTGTTGAATAGATGACAGCTGTCAATCGTAATGTGCCAATTGTATGAATCGAAATGGTATAAGGTTGCCACGCTTAGCTACTTCCTTCGGTACTGACTTACTGCGAACAATGCGCGATGACGTGAGGCTTCTATATTAGTCTGTGCATTACATACAAGAAACATGCGCAGATTTTTACAGTGCTTCATTAGTGACATGATGGTAGAAAGGACGTAATTAGTAATTACCATTTCAAAGTGAGCTGTTGTAGGCACGACGGATTTCGTTTGGGCTTGAGACTGAGCCACGTCACTTGGTACCTATAACACACACAACACATGCAAAGCGAATGTAGCGGAGTTACCACTTAATTAAGCTCTCCTTTGCGACAAAATTAATTAAAATGAATATTATATCATTGCTCATGGCATTAGCCCAATTCTATTTAAATAGTATAATCACTGGTGTTATTGCTTACTCGATGCAATATAAATTGGAGTTTTACCGCATTCCAAGGAACGCATTACGTTTGAAATGATGTACTTTACATAAAAATGTCGTTAAGAGATATCCCAATAATCCAAGAAAAACTCACCTTAGCAGGATTAATGGGTCTGCGGAAGAAATAGATTTCGTCATCCGTCACGGCAGAAGAGTGGTTAAACTTCTTCAATCCTTCGGTGCCAAGTTTCTTCATGAGGTTTTTACTCTCGTCATATGTGGACTCACAAATGAAGACATCGTCTTCAGGGATCTCTGTCGGTCGACCTAAACGCGATTATTAGAGATTTTTTTTATTATAAACTTTATAAAGTTACTCCAGTTGAATTAATGTCATGGAATTAATGAATTCAAATAGTAATATCGTCTTACTGCACACGTATTCGCCATAGTCCAGTACTGCACACTTTCCGACAATGGCAACAATAGGATGAGTTCCTTCGACGGTGGACAAGAACATTTCTTGCTTGTAGAACAACTTCGTAGGCGTATGAGGGACTTCTGATGGAGTTAACAGGAAAGGACCCTTGAAGTAGCACTTCCCACTAGCAAAAAATAAACAGTTCGTATTTTTTCTCTATATTACTTTCTTCATTACTTTAGTATTGAAATTAAAAGACACATTGGAAGTGATCCAAAACCAGATTAGAATAGAATTTTTTATCTAATCAGAAACAAAAGTTAAGATACAACGGTCGCTTACTCTTTTGTTGACCACAGCGAATCTATTTGTGCAATTTGTTGTCTGCCTCCATCAGTTGCAACATATACGAAGTCTCCGGTTTTCACAGTTCCCGCACATGTATTATACTGTTCATAATACGAATTGTCAGAGTCCTCCTGACTGAACAGTATCACGTTCTGCAAGTTTAGAAAGATTAGATAAGCCACCTGATAACGGCCACACTTTATAGCGATTCATTGATCTAATTTGATTAAACCGTTTAGAATTTCTGCATTAAATTGTTCATATCACATAACTTACAGGTCTCTCTTTCTCTATGAGTTTCTCTCCTTCTTCTAGCTCAGCAATTTCTTCCTTATGTTTTTCCAGTCGTTCCTTATAGACTGAAATGACACGTTTAGGTTCTAGAGGCTTCTCTCTTTGAACCAATTTTAAATGATCAGGGTCAAAATTCCACACTTTGATTTTCTTGAATGCTCTTGCTTTCGTAGAGTACCGAGATTCACATACATATACATCCTTTTCGGGAAATCCATCAGGTTGCATTCTAAAGTAGTCTTTAACACTTAAAACGCAACATCTTCCTGCTACCTTTGCCAAAGGTACTGCTACGTGCGCATCGCTTTTAAATAATTCCTTATCTAGGAACTTTCTAGATGCAACATGGTATGTTTCACTAGGACGATAGAACAGATTTCCATATAACATTTGTTGTCCTTCAGCATTGGTCCACAAACGTTCTATAAGAACAACACTGTACTCCATTCCTCGCTCTGTAGGTTCTATGTATGCAAAATCGCCAGCTCTGTATACTTCTTGATTAAAACTCATGGATCCTCCATTTTCCGTAATATTACCACTACTGGAATTACTAGTACCAGCTCCTTCCTAAAGAAACAAAATAAGATAAATATATATAAACATATTAAAATTTATTTATTTAAAATTAAATACAATTTTTAAATACTCACTTTAGATTCGCTCCCATCGCAACTTTCATCCTCAGTTGGTAAGGCTGCTTCTTGTTGAAGTTTTACGCGTTTGAGTTCTGCAACTTGGGCGGACAGATCCAAAAGGGTGTAATTAAGAGCCGGTGAATGCAACAGGTCTCCTCCACGAGTAGCTTCATCTCGCGTACGGAGAAAGAATGCCTGAAGTTCAACGCTATCCTCAAAAGGTTGAGAATCCGTTCGGGAAAGTTTACGAGCTCTCTCAAGGCATGTGAAAACATCTTCTTGAAATCTATCTAGCCTCTTGTAAGCACCCCTGTCCAATCTTCTTTTAATGAGATCCAGTGATAAGCCTCGTACCCTGTTGATTGCATCAACGTCAATATGATTACATTCTTAATTAAGTTTTTATTAAAATAAAACAAATCCTTACTTTTTGCCATCTACTATGTCATGCTCAGGAAGTTCAGCCATAGAATCAGAGTAACAGCGTCCCTCCTCATCTTGATGATTGTATAAGGCTGTGAATATTGTTGCCAACAGTTCCTGAACCGCAGCAGATACATCAGGGACACTTTCCTCATCCTCGCTTAATTGCAATTTAGTTTGAAGTACTAACCGTTGTAATATTAAGGCATCCTGAAAAATAATAATTATTAATATATGACTATAATTAATAACTGCCAGATTTCCTTTATAAATATAAAAAATAAAACGACCTATGAGAACACTGTAAGAAACCATGCATAATTTCAACAAATCGTACGAATAATGATCTTAGAAAGAATGAGAATTAATAAAATTTGTTTACTTCGGTTTTGTATCTTTTATACTTTTTTATCACCCCATGATCTAAATCTTTATCTTTCACGAGTCGGACATAGCATGATCGAATTTTTAAGGATTCTCGTAAACTCGGGTTAATTGAATCACAATTATTAACAGCCAAAGAACGATTAGTTTTAGGTGAAGCACAATTAATCACTTGCACATCCATATTTACTGAGTGTAGTAAATTATGAGTATCAAGGGTGTTGACAAAAGAATGGCCAACAGATGAAAATCATCCCTCTGGGCATTTCGATTTCTGCACAAGATGCGCGCGTGTTTAAAGAATACATCGAAATCGTTACGTATATTTCGTTCGAAATTTGACACTATTTTTACTGAGCTTCTGCATCTTCCGTGGAACCGACAAGAAGCTTGATGAAGCTCGACGAAACGTTAGAGGCACGCGTAACCTCAAAATTCCACCCGACTAATCACCCCCTCAAAGTCTCCATGCTTTCGCGGGAAATTTGAAATGCGAATAAATTTTGTACAGATCACTGCATGCACCCTTCGTAGTGCTGATTTATGCCTGCTCATTTGCAATAGTGGGAATCAGCAAAATAGGATCACGTATATAAATATGTTTGTGGATTTCTTACTCGTTCTACATAGATACATCATGCAAATATTTCTATGGAACGTACGGTACAAAGAAATATAGTAAATTCATCTTTATAGTTATAACAAAATGACGATCGGATTTAGAGAGATTATTTACGAATTTATTGATTAGTTTAAAATGTAGGTCGAGTCTTGTAGAGAAATTGAGAATACAAACCTTATAAATCTGCGAATCTGGCTCATTATATTTACAGGCGTTATCAAACATTAATATGAAATCTGATACTATCTCTTCCAGACTCTCGTAACCATTATTCTTCAAGGTGGATGCGATTTTTTCCATGTTCATTGGTTGTTTAATAACTTCGTAATAGTCAGGATATTCGTTCTTATTTGGCAGTTTCATGAATATCAAAGACAATTGCCTTCCTTTCACATCTCGGAAGTCCTTTATCGTGTCGTACATTGTGCGTAACTTTTGCATATGCAACGGCACCACTTTTTTCGGTCTCCTGTATTATTTATTTATTATTCCTACCTTGCATTTCAAGCACTAACTTAAAGTTACGTGAAATCGTAATATGCATACCCAACATTTCTTGTTGGTGTAGACGCAGTTGACTTTACTGGTTTCACTGGCTCCGGTAACGGACCCAATTCTTTCACCTTATCCATTAGTACCTTCTCTAAAGTATTCGCATCTTCATAAATAAGCGAACCTTCTTCGTTGTATTGCCGACAATTGTTAAACATTAACTAAATAGATAAAAGGAGACAATAAGGTACCGATCTACTACTTAGCTTAAGCAAGTTATGTGTATGAGATATACTGGATTACAGAACTGTATCAATATGTACATGTTAATATATAAGAAAAGGAATATCCACGATACCTTAAAATCTTGGATCAATTCATTTTCACTCTGATACTTTTCAGCTTTGATATTAGCTTCGATACCTAGCATGTCAATAGGTTCTGCAATTACTTGATAATAGTCTGGATATAATTTTTTAGATGGTTTTTCCATGAACATCAACATTGGTTGTCGGCCATCTTCACACTATACAGTTGCAAAATTCGTTACATGGACTGATTCCGATGAATACATTACAATTTGGAATTACTTACGACGTATTCTATGACGCATTTGACTAGAGCATGTAACCTCTTCTTTAAAGGTATATTATCTTTATATTTCCCTCGAGTTAGTAAGTTAGAGGCTCGTTTAATGAGTTTAGGCTGTTGTGAATTATTTTCTGATTCACTCTCAGATTCAGAGTCCTATAAGACAAGATGTAATCATAATTAATTAGCTAGATATTTTTAGCATCATCAGAAAACAATATATGCATACCTGATCAAACTCAAGTAATTCCTGTACCTTTTCTTGCATTAACTTTTGCAATTTCACAGCACACTGCCAAAAAAGCCAGAATTATAAATTATCTTAAAATGAACTGTGTGGATTTAGACATTAAGATATTAATAATGTACCTTATATAATCTAGAAGTGTGAATGTTGTATTTTTTCGCATTTTCAAACATTATATTCATATCGCCTGCCACTTCACTAACAGTGCCATATTCTCCTTTCTGTAAAATCACTTAGTGTTACAAACATATTATAACGCAGCTTACTAAATATATCCTTTATAACTGTATGAACAGACCTTTATTTTGGTACGAATTTGCAACAGTGATATTGGATTCTTTATCATTTTATAGTAATCAGGATACAGACGCTTGGACGGCAGTTTCCAAAAATACTCGCTCATTCGTATACCTGTAAGTTTGATTTTCAGTAACAGTTCAATACAATATCATAAACAGTCCTTTTAAAATGTTAAAAGAACTAATAAATATCTCAGAGAATATTTACCTTGGTTATTAGGCGCAGTTCTAATAGTTTGGAATAATTGCCATTGAGGATTATCAGACTCTTCAGTTTCAGCAGTGTCTTCTTCTTCGTCGTCACTTTCTTCGTCTTCATCTGGCAATGTTGCTGTTTGAGCGATTAAAGCTTGCGCTACTCCACGACTGCCCCTTTTGCTTCTAGTAGAAGGAGCTGTAGACGACATTTTCGACATGTTGCCTCCAGATCCTGAGTCTTGTTTCTTCGCAGCAGCAACAATAATTTTCTTCAGCAGCTTAGCATCTTTGTAAATTTGAGAACCAGGTTCATTAAACTGGCAGGCATTCCGACACATGAGCATCAAATCCTTTTCCATGTCTGAAAGAGATCCGTAGGCACTCTCTTGAATTTTTTTTGCTATAGTCTTGAGATCCACTGGATTTTCAATAACGTCATAATATTCTGGATACAACTACAACAATTCAAAGTTAATACTGGCCAAGTGTAATCAACATATTATAAGCAACTGAAGCATACCTTTTTAGATGGCTTTAGTTGAAACATTGTATGTAAAGGTCTGTTATTATCTATGGGGTCTGTAGCTGTCATAACAGCCGTAAACAAGTCTTCATAAGGTTGCATTGATTCTTCATCTGGATTTGTCGAGCTTTCAGAAGTATCCTCAATTTCCTCTTGCTTCATTGCAGCCTTCCGAGCCTAAAAAAAAAAAAATTAAAACAACGTCATTACTCGAAATGTTCAGACTCTTAAAAGATAATTAAAAGTCCAAGTAAAACAAATTTCTCACCAATCTGCCAACTTTTAATATTATTTTTCCCTTTGGTTCAGGATCTTCGTATTCTTCAGAAATTCGATTTTTTGTATTTACACATAATTCCCATAATTCAGTGGCATCCTTATACTCAGTGGATGTGCGCTAATTGTAAAAAACGAAAACTATTAGCAACTCATTCTAAAACAATAAGAACCTTGAATAGAAAATATAAAATTTGAAGTTAAAAGCATACCATATAAAAAGCCTTAGCATTATTAACCATCAGTTGAATGTCAGATGCTAAATCATCCATGTCACGATACTCATCAGTTTTGAGTTTTTGTTGAACCTTCAGAAGATCTATAGGATTGGACACAACTTCGTAATAGCCTGGTTCTTGCCGTCTCTTAGGCACACGAATAAATGCATCACAAAGGAGAGATCCATCTTCCTTCTTTTGGTTGCGAAGGATATCATATAATTGTTGACAAAGGTCACTCTGTCCAATAATAAGAATTTATTAACACAGATAATCTAAATGATTTGTCACCGCAGTAAGGTAAAGGGTAACTATAATTACAGGATCAAGTTTCTTTCGTCTCTTCGTAGGTTCAGGCTGGACTTCTTCCGAATCATCTTCCGTGCCACGACTGGCCACAGAAGATGTCCTACGCCGTTTGTTCATTCTGGATTATCTGAAAACAATGACAGAAGCATAAAGTTTATACAAATCAACGACACTAAACGGATTTTTGTAACTCCACATTATCATTGAATTAAAATCCTCCGTTATGGCTTTTCTTTCCAAACACGTAATACACTTTACATGCATGTATCGCAATACTTCTCGTACATGTGTACGTTATGCTTCAATATCAAAACATTTCCTCCAAGTGAACATTCAAGAGCCTTACATGTTCAACTTCCGTCACCGAGTTCCCAGTAACAAAACCAGTGGTATTAACTGCAGGTCCTTGTGTCCAATCTTGTGATGGAAAAACATACTAAAGTCATACTGCTGCACCTGACTGTAGCCGCCATGATAACTCGCTAACACTGTACACTACCATTCAAGGCGAAAGAATGCCGAGGAATATGGTCGAGGCCGAGCTGTCTTCTACTCAAAATTGTGCTCCAGCTCCGCGACGGTCTGTGTACAATCGGGTCTCCTCGCAAAATCTACTCAACCCCGTAGAAATATTGATTTTCAACTAAAATTTGCCGCCATGACGCAGCTCGCCCCGCTGACGGCGAGCTCCCAGAATTCCCGAATTCTTGTGCAATTACTAACGACCTACACACGCCACTGTACTCTCGGCTTCTCACCTGTTTTACGGATTTGCCTGCATTCGCGCTTGTAGACGCTTCATCTGCGCCTCGACTGGCGATACGCGTGGCCCGATAAGGCGTTCACCCTTATCTAAAATTCGCGGCGACACACAACCAGGCCGACGCCATGCCGCGAGTTTATAATTCGACCAAAGTCGACGAATCGGTTCACGAGAGCAGGGAGGGGTGATCCAAGATGGCGGCCAATATGGCCACCGCCATGGAGGGAATTGCGTGATTGAGGCATCTTACATAGTTTCTGTCCTGATCATCTGGCCGCTCCTATCTAAGGATGCTGCGAACAAGAAAAACGTTCTTTAACTACTGCTGAGGTAAGGAAATAAACTAGAGATATTAAAACTGTGAAGACTCGATATTAAATTCGCCTTGGACGAATGAATGTTTATCAGGCAGTGAGATAAAACCGATTTAAGCTTCCATAGGAGATAAACAAACTAAAGATTTTGCATCAACCATCTTCAGTTGGTATTTTTATCCATAATGAATGAGGTTATCCACAGAGGTACATATTCTGTTTGAAAGGTAACCAGAACCGGGTTTATCAGTAGTGTATTACTTTACCGATTCAGGTAGAAGCTGCAAATTCCTACTATGAATTGTTTGCAGCTTATTTAATAAGAAAGTTGAATATTAAAATTCTATAAATCAGTAATTTGTATAATTTGATAGTATAGGACGAGAAGAACTTATGTTAAGAATATTTGAAGTTTCTATAGTGTAAAAATGCAGTATTTGGTAGCAATCAGATATATATTTCTTTACAGATTTCGATAAATGTAAATATTTATAAACTAAATGAAAGTTCACACTACATTTAAGAATAATACTGATTTATAGCCAGTTAACGCAAAAAGGAGTTTGGGGGAGCAGATTTCACAATTGTATTAACTGTCGTTTATGTACAAATGTTTACATGGCAGTACAGGGAACTGTTTAAAGAATTCTAGAAAGCTTACTAGGTTATTTCAACACACGGAATTGGATTAAAGTGGAAGCATCGGTTCAATTGCAGCACCGATTTCTATGTTTAATACACGATACAATAATTTATAGTGGATTTAGTTTTTAAATTAGAATACGATCTAAGCTCTTGTCTGACGTGCACACCTATTAGCAATATTGTCAAATTTCTTTAAAACAAACTCGTGTCGGGTTGAAATTGAATACAATACGGATACAAATTTTCGTAAATAAAATAGAACCTCTTCAAAAGTGGCAGTAAACATTGTTCGTCTAATCGACGTACCTTGTACTCTTTCTGGTCGGTAGACAAAGAAAAATTAGGCGAATCATAGAGATTAGATATTCAGTTAAATAGTTTATAAAACATGTCTAGGTAAATTAATATTTAAATAGTTATAAAAATCTAGTTAAGTTTAATAGAGTTGTGAATACACTCGGACGAATTCAAGCTCCAACAATACACGCAGATCCATCGAACAATCAGATTCCTTAAGTTATAGACATTAAAAATTAGAATACTATATTATTATACGCTGACTATCAAATGGCTGTTAAATAAGTACACGTTTTCTTCATGCATAAACTGTAATAAGAACAGGCCGCATAGTAGAATTATTGCGTTACCTAATGGGAATTAAACTAATTTAAATTAAGTCATCTAATAGTAGGGTCGAGACTCAGAAACGCCTCGTTCGCTTCAACTTGACTTTATTCGGCCTTCAGCTGGAAATTCAAATACGCAAATTAAGCCTTTAACGAATATATAATTCCTTCTTTTCGACGGTTATATTAATTAGGAAGCAAACGAAAGAAATCGAGCTTATCCGAAAGAAGTCCAAGTTAAGTAGGCGCACGAAAGCTGTTGTTAATCTTAATTAAGAGACTTAAATTAAAATAGAAACTAGGAAGAAACGCCTTTTCTTAAGTGGATCCACGCGTTCGCGTTAGAAGCGCTCTAAGATTCAGGAATAAATACAACGTTTACGTGATTCTCTAAGCCGGCGCGCAACTATTTCGAAATCCACGTAAACGGACGGTAAAATTAAAACTACGCGGATATAATGTTAAATCTACGACTTTTATAACACGTAGAAGGAGCTTTTGCTCTTGTGACTTCGTTGCTGGTAACGTAATTCCAGTAATCGTCCTTTCGATTAAAGTCTAAACCGTAAAGCTCGTACTTCCGCGACATTCGATTAGCACAACGTACGATAATTCTGTATTTTCCGATGAGAGCGAAGAAATGCGGATGTAATTACAGAAATAATAGTAACGCGGAACGTAATATCTAATTCTTAGTGGAAATTATTACACCTTTTACGAAATAGCAGAAATAGCCAAAGAATACTGAATATGAAAATACATTATGATTGTACTCATATTTTCTTCCCACCTCCGTTAAACATTTTTCGTCGTATGAAATTGAACAAAACCATTTGAAAACTATATTTAAGGCATACGTCAAAGAATTACACGGGTCTCACATTGAACCTATTAGAAATTCTTGATAGGAAACGCGCTTTTCAAAGGCACCGTAACCAGTTTGCTATGACAACCAAAAGAAACGCAATACAGGTAATAATTAAACGTGTATTGAATATAGCCTCTAAATAGTTTCGCTTATTTTCATAACGTTTTCAATGAAACACTCAATCTTTGCGATTTGACTTAAAAAACTGCAATTTTAAATCAGGTTTTCTCCATACGCAATGAGCGCGACTGGTTTGACATAACAGTTTGGATTTCACATCATGCCTCTAATTCGCATTTCTCCTCCTCGGGATAGTAAAAAAGGCAAGTGCACTCGGTAGCTTTCATCGATGATAGTTTTCGAGCTACGTTTCCTTGAGCGGAAAGACAAATTGCCGCCTCTACGTGAAACCGGAAAGAAAAACTGTATCTCTTAACCAGAAGGCAATAATTAGAGAATCTAATGTTTTCCATCAACGTGATATTAATTTTTCTCAAACGGATGAGAGTAACAACTAAACCCTCCGTAACGCCATAAGGTGCATGAAGTCACATACCCGTACATCGACATTTTTTAAGCCTTTTTTTATTTTTCCGGCAAAAATTTCCTTGATATAGCTTCTCATGGGTGTACCATTCCTTTGTAACCAAGGGCTCCGTTTGTAAATTTTAAATTCAATGTATCTGTTCATAAATTCTAATTTATAAGCAAATAGTATATCAGAAGGTTACTATTTGCAAATTTCACGTTATATCGGTTTGGCTTGGAGAACAAATTGGAGTACAGAGGCTTAATTGAATTTTAATCCGCTTTTGGACATTCACGGAAACGTAGCTGTTCGAGTCGAAATTTTAATCCTTTAAAGCTGCATAATCCAAGTAAGACCTCTTTTGATCCTACTTTAAGCCCACAAATAGAAAAAGTGGAGATATCTGCCACTTTTGAGGTCTAAAGTAGGACTTTAATCATATAAAAGAATATCGTGTCGAAACCCATTTAAGGGGATGCGAAAGTGGCATTTAAAGGGCCTATCGTTCGTTAAACTTTTCTCCTCACTGAAGATACCGAATCGTTTCAAACTTTACAACATGAATATCGAGGCTGCAAGGAAGCTCCTGACACCCATGAAATTGCATTATTTATAAAAGATTTTTTAAATATCCATAGGACCTTCCTCATAGCCTCCGTATTTACATTGTAAAGTTGGAAACGATTCAGCAGATCCGGTTCAGACAAAAGTTTTCTTAAACGAGATCCTTGGATGTCCCTTTAACGTCACCTTAAGACCTGCAATTTGAGGTTCTAAGTAAGATAAAAATGTCGACTCGGGTGGATCGATCCGTCCAGTATGGGGATCATCGGAATCAGCTGTTCAAGTGACCGTAATTGATCGTCGTATCAAAGATGGCGGAAGTCCTCGAGCTATGGCCATAAAAGTAGACTAAACGCGCAGTCTTTAAGGAAGCTCTCATATCTCCCAGTCGGACTCGTTCTCACGCGGTTGTCGCGGTTTGCTCTTCGCCTTCTTCGCCTTGGTGGCTGTCGCCTTCTTCTTCTTCGGCTTCGGCGAGATCTCGCAGCTGCATCCGCTCCGCACCTTGATGTAATCCAAGGTCCAGGTGGAACCGCCCGGACCCCCCGTGCTTCCAGGGAATGCCGGAAAATGGTGTTCCCGGTGATGATGCCTTCGGTGCTCTTCCGTGCCGGCCTGAAGAAAACGCTAAGCGTAATTACACGTCGCCCTTAATCCTGCGAAACACCTGACCCAGACGGCGAAATAATGTCCCTAGGGTATCCCGAGAATATTCCGGGACCTCCCTATTTTTTTTTTCCCCTTCTGTTCTCAAAAGTGTGGATCTCGTTGCGTAATATCAGAGAATAATGACTTGACTCAAATGATGCGATAGCTTCGTGTACTAAGGAAGCGAAACGCGATGCTTGGTACTGGTCTACTTCTTATCGAGGGAAGTACTGAGAGAATGGAATTTATAAATATATATTGGGTGTATTACCTTCGATCCAAGGTTCCTAACGATGGCGTACGAGTAGGAGAACTTCTGCACGCATCTCGACTGGTTGCTGAGCTTGCGATCGATGAACCGACAAGGTTTGTCCAGCACGTCGGGTCTACAGGAGTACTCGAAGAACCTCTGCGCGTTGTCGCCATCCCTGTAGAGCTCCACGTACATGTCATTGCGATTTCTACCGCCGACCGGCTCCACCATCTCCTCGATCGACGGACAACAGTCGACGGCGACGCCTTCTTCGCCAGCCTCCTGGCGCAGGACCATCTGCATCTCCCGGTACGTCATGCGTTTGCCCGCCGTGTCCTCCAGCGGCACCGTCCTGGGGCAACGAGTGGTTTAACGATCTCCTTCGATGAAAAGCGAGGCCGATATTCTGCGGTAATACGTGCTCACTCACCAGCGAGAGATGTGTCCTCTGAAAGGGTGTTCCCGAGGTCTGCGAGACGAGAAGGATACCGTGAGGTTGTTGGCGGCAGCAAGCCGCGGGCACAGGACTGCGGTCAGACAAACCACCTGAGGACAGATCCAGGGGAACTTTATGAATCACTGGGTGCAATTCGTGGGATTTATTTTGCACTCTGCGAGTACGTTTGTTGTATCCGAACCGACGATATGTATATAAGTTTATTGTCGGCAGTAGTAAGCGGTGGGCACATGATTATGGTCAGACAAACCACCTGAGGAGAAATCCAGGGGAACTTTGTGAATTACTGAGTACACTTCGTGGGATTTATTTTGCGCTCTGCTAGATCCAGAGAAATTTCGTGAATTACTGGGTAAACTTTAAGGGCTCTATTCTTCAATCGTTTATTCGTGGTTAACATGGCGCGCAATTTCAGACAGTACATATTAGAAGGATTTCATTTTACCGATAACCATTAAATTTCTCGGCGTCTTTCAAATCGCCTTAAGATCCCATGGATCATTTTTAGATAGAACAAAATGGACCCCTGGTTATAGAGTACAAATGTACCGGAGCTCTGATCCTCCTTTTTTCTTTTTTCAATTTTATTACCACACTGCCTTTAATGCGCTCGCTTGTCCTTCTTTAACGTTCTAAAAATCCTTTCGGATGGGCCGTAACTCGCGAGAATTGACACCTTATTTGCAGGTATAAACGTAAAGGGCGTGAGATCAGTCGTACCATTCGCCCAAGCGAAACGAGTAGAAATCGGTACGGAGCGGAGTAATAAACCACGGCATTAGTCACGGCGAGCTCGATGACCGGCGAGAGGGTGCTGCCCCGAGTACAGAGGCGAAAACATTAATTCGACTTATAATTTTTATGCAAAACAGGCCCCGGGGTCGTAGTGTCCTACGCACGGGGGGCCTCGCCGCGACGCGGCTCCGATTTAATTGCCGGGTATAACTCGTCGCCAGAAACGGGATCTTAGGTTAATTCGCCTTTCTGGGATTTATACCGGGCCGTAAGGCCCGGGAAGAGGGGCCTTCGGGCCCAGGGTACATCTAACGATGTAACCGCCACTTACGATCCGCTTATAATAGTACGTTGCATCGAATGCGTGTCACCTCGTGCTAACTAAACGGAGGAAGATATACCGCCGCGGCTGCAGCTAGGCGCTTTCTTTATCACGCAAAACACCCTATAAATGCGCGCGTAAAATGGTTCAATTTATCCAACACTTCACAAAAGATTACCGGAGAGGCATTGAAGTATAAGATATCGCGTTATTTCGATCGAGGCATTCAGGAAAAAATTTCATCCATCCAATCTGACGTACGCGTTTCGCAATTTTTATATTGCTTTTACACCCTGAATAAAAAGAAATAAATATTTTGTTAATTCGAGGAATATTTAGAATTTATTTGAATCAAGTAATTATTCTTCGAATTAATCAAATATATTCTTTGGTACTATTCGNTTTATTTGAGTCAAGTAATTATTCTTCGAATTAACGAAATATTTCTTTGGTACCATTCAAAGAAATATTTCTTAGGTTCAATGAATTCTTCTTTTTTTTTTTTCCTCGGTGCAAAGCTTCTTATTTTACGGTTGGCAACCAATTTATTAGATACACTAGGGTTTAAAAAAGGTTATTGTTTCAAATCGATCATAGTGGAATTTTAACAGGTGTAACTAATAATTCAGCCGACCGTCAGCTTACTTGTGTGTATCCGACGAGAATTCCTACCGAGTTTCTTCATGAGACTTTAAAAATAATTTTATCAAGTTAAAACATAATTTAACTCGACTGCATTATCGGCGACGGGAGTTTTTCGAGTCTCTCTCGATTCCTGCTTACGACACTTGTCGAAATAATTTGACTGCTTGATTTTCGAGCCCGTTTTTGTAGGATAGGCGCACGCCTTTACGTCTCTTATGCACGTGAGCCTTTTTCGAGATGTCGAAGGCATCTTCTTCGAGGTGGTGGTGACGCAACTGAGGAAGATAGAGATCCAGGAACGCGATGTGTGGTCCTTCGTGAGGGGATCCACCGGATTCAAATACGATCACCGAGTCGGGACGCACGGGTGGCATCGTTTAATTACGTACACACCCTGCAAGAAGATGGCTTCATTAAGCCCCGGTAGGATTATCTCTCGAAGCGTCCCGTTTCCATAAATCTTTGCGTCTCGATTTTGCACTTTGCCGATGAGTTTGCGTCCCGTTCACCTTGTGGACCTCTCTCGAGAACTCGGAATTCACAAGTCGAGTTGTAGAAGACAGGGACGAGGTTTTCGATCGCTATGCAAAAAAGCCGCATTAGCCTAATTAAATGGCACGAATGATGTGGGGAGATAACACCGGTAACTCGAAATTAATAAGGAATAACGCGCAGAAGAAATTACTTCGATCATTCGACTCTGGTTCTAAGACAATATACCGTGAGATAAAATATTAGTTAACTGAAACAAATATAATTCGCTGAATCATATATGATTGCAAGAAGCAATTGTTATGTTGAGAAGAAAAATTGACATTGAGTTTAACTAATCGTTGATATCAGGATTTTGTTGCCGCAATGGATCGTTCCTCGAGTCTATCAACTATTTTTCTCTCGGTGTATGCACAATTTCTACACTGTTAAAAATGTCATGTCTTAAATCTGAATCAGGAAACATTTATTAGGAATTTTTAAACGCGATCATAATTTTATAACACAGTGTGACCATGATTTCGGGACACTGTCTAGGAAACTCGACGCGCTTGTGTTGAAAATTGATAACATCCATTTACAAAACATGTAATTAAAATGTTATAGAATTGGAAAATATTTTTTCTTTATCAGTGAATTTTTTCAATTATGTTTCCCGGCTTGAAAGGTAGAAGCTGATTATATGGTAAACCTCGCGGATCATGAGATGATCATACATTAGAACGGTGCATAGCGATTTCATACAAAGTTGTGCCAATCGATTGAACACGATACCAGTGGATTACTAAACGCGTAGAAATTTCCCTTGGTTGGGAAACAGTCCAAGTTCCCTGTATCAACCCGGGGGTGATTTCCGCAGACTTTCTTGCCTCCGATATCGCGAGGGAATTTCGCTAAGATAAGGAGAGGCCAATCGGCTATCGTACCTAAGACCACATCTCGTAGAGAGCCAAGGGACCAGTTCTGGCCATATCTCGCGGGTCCTGGAATGCGCTTGGCATTGCTCGATTTATTCCCGATTATTTATTTTTATGGAATGGATAACATTCAACCTCTGCTCGGACTTATCGAGGGAGCTTAAACTTAAACTTTACCGAGTAGCACGGGGTGCGGAATTTGTCGCGATTCCTTAGCCATTGTGCAACGCTGGTTCCTAGCTGGGACCCGACAATGAATAGTTGCGACTCGTATCTAGATGTAACAATTCCTTAGGACATTCCTATCGATCCGAGGTTCGGCCAATCGGACAATGACTTCGCTAACTCGAGAAGTGCATTCCCCGTAGATGCCGAATCGGTTTCGCGACCTCATGGGGAGCCACGTGTTCGCGGGACAGAAATCCTCCGCTGATAAAAAAATGAAACTTCGGACATGTACTAATTTCGTAACGCTCCCAAACAACGTATAAAAGATAAGTTATAAATTTGATATACAAGTGTACCTCATTTTTTTTTTTTTTTTCTACAAAATTTCAGATAATTCTGATATGACTTTAGAAAATTGCAAATTTATTTTCAAGTTTATCGTAGATGTAAATGATGAACAATGCGTTTGTCATGCAATAGGCGTTTGATAATCCCAGCGAAAATCGATATGGCCATTATGCCGACATTTCCTCGAGTGCAGAGGGTGATAACGGTGTCTGAATTCTCAGGTAAACCGCCAGCATACATCGGAAGGACTGCGTTCCCATTATCTTAAGGCCTTGAACCTCCAACGCGAACTGCGATCCCGGCGAAGTTGAACGCACGAACCGCGCGGCTGAAGGAAAGGAATTGTTCGAAAAAATAAAAATAATAAAAATAGATAAAATAAACTACGACGTTTACGCGTCTATAATCACGAAACGGTTGGCGCGGTGTCCTGTAATCAGCACCGCGGTAGTTGCGACGCTAGTACAAGGCCGTGGAACAAAACCTAATGTGTTTTGCGGAACACCTGTAAAGTGAGATCGAACGCTTTATGAAATGACGAAATACGGATATTCTTGTAATTATCTAAATGCTGCGTGTAACAAAACGGGCCAATGTTAACAGGCTATAAATACTGCGGCTATAAACATCCACGATCACCATGTAATAATGATCTCGGCACGCCGTAGAGCAGGCGCTTATCACGGAATCTGAAAGCGGGGCAGACCTACAAATGAGCGGGCAAAACTGGCTATTGTTCGGTTAAAACGAGAACACCGATTCGAGGGACCCTTCGAAGAGACCGGTGCAACGAACGCATTCCCCGCGAAGTGCGGAACTTCCCGCGTGTTATGCAAGATTTATTGACGGCCGGCTCGCAACGCTCGATACTCTACCTACAGTGCAAGGATGCAGTTTGCCGTGCTGGAAGTCGCCGACTCGCGGGGGTTCATAAATTCCCGCGCGCGGCCAATCCCGCATGCGCGGCGGGTCACGTGGGCACCGGCGGACCAATCAGCGCGCGGAACGCGACTCCCGGCAGCCCTCGCGAGGCGAATCGAAATCGCGATTATGACGCGCCCGTTAATCCTGCACTTTGATACATTTATCACCCTTTACCGAGTAACTGGCTCCCTCGCACCTCTCGAGGGTCATAAATAGAGAAAGTAAGTCCCCCTTTAGCAGATTACATTTATATTTCTAGGCAATTTGACCGTTCTAATGTTGCGCGCATTTGTCGAAAGTCCCGCATAACCTATTCTATTTTACAGACGGCGAGCATATTATAAGTCGCGGGGGTTTAAATTGCATTTCATCAATTCTCAAGAAAAATGGTTTAAATGCATCAAGGATCTATACATTATAATTGTTCTCAGATGAAATAGGTATTTCAGGTAATGAGATGGGATAATGAGAGATGTTATGGTGTAATTAATTAACTGGTCATTAATCGGTACAGAGGGAAGGAGGATAAGTTCATTCG